AAGCTACAGTTATCTGAAAGGAGGGAGCCTCAATGGAGGAAATGCCTCCATAAAATCAGTTATGGGGCATTTTCTTCATTAGTGATTGATTGTGGATGGGGCCATCCCTGAGCTGGTGGTCCTGGGTTCTATAAAAAAAAAGCAAGCAGGCTGAGCAAGCCAATCCATAGCACTCCTCCATGGCCTCTGCATCAACTCCTGCCTCCAGGTCCCTGCCCTGTTTGAGTTCCTGTCCTGACTTCCTTCAGTGGTGAACAGCAATGCAGAAGTGTAAGCCAAATAAACACTTTCTTCTCAACTTGCTTTTTGGTCATGTGTTTTGTCACAGCAATAGAAACCCCAACTAAGGCAGCATGTCTATGATGAAAGCCACTGGAGCCATGCTGACATGACTCAGTGCAATGCTTTACTGTCTCATTATTGCTACATCTTCATTACTCTGCCAAACAATCCTGTGGCTATCACCTTTCTGTGTATATTTTGCCTATAAGTAAACATGCGAAATTAGAATTACCCCTACTAGATTCATGACCACTGTAGCACTCATGTGGGTGGCCTTGATTCTTGATATTTTTCCTTCTATGTTCCCAGTCTTCACATGAGTGACTCTTGGGACAGGGCCAATTACATTCAAAATTTGTAACTTGGGAACTCTAGTTGTATGTCTTGAGATATTAGACATAATAAAACTTGTATAAGTGCTACACTGGAAAACTAAAACAGGAAGATATTGAATTTGAGGCCAGGGTGGGCTACATAGCAAGACAAACAAACAAAAATAATACAACTGGGAGCAGATTATAATTTTGAAAGGAAAGGAAGAAGAAATATACCATACATTCTAAAACAGAGACTAATATATTTCTTATACTCAAACATTAAATTTTGGTGTTAGACTTCCTTGGAGTTACATGGACAGGGTACACATGGTGGATAGCATAATTCCTGATTTTGAAAAACAGAAGTTAAGTCTCTAACCATGTTTTTTCAGAAAAGACTCTTTCCAATCCGATGGACCCAATGTAGAGACATCAAGAGAACCATGTGCTCAACACTACACTTGCACAGGACTCGGGGACATGCTGACACTGTGATTGCCAACCATTCACATGCCAGCTAATGATTAAGCAGGAAGTGATAATCTCATTTTCAATTCAACTGGGCTTGAATCAACTAGGAGACACACACTGCCCCCCCCCCCCGCTGTGTGCATATAAGGGTGTTTCCAGAGAGGATTAGCTGAGCCAGAGAGACCTACCCTAATTGTGGGTGGAACCATACATGGACTGAGGTCTCAGACTGAATAATGGAAGATAGTGGTGAGCTAAGCACCAGCATTCGTCTCTCAGCTTCCCCATCGAAGATGCAGGAAGACTGGCAGCTTTATGCTCCTGCTGCCATGCTTTTCCCCACAGTGAGCCTCAGACTATGAGCCTAAATAAAGCCCTTCTTTCTTTAAGTTGCCTTTGTAGCTATTTTATCACAGCAACAGGAAAGTTAACTAATACATATGATGAGGTTGAAATGTTCAAGTTGAAAAGCTCTGACTTGGTCCTGTTGGTGCCTATTATTACACAGGCTCCTGCCCCCAATTCTTGATTGTCTGCTGTTGTGATCTGAGGAGAGAGACAATGCCTGCCAGCATTAAGTCTTGTTTTGGTGTTGCTGACATTGAGCATTTCTCCTCCTCATCTTCGCCCCTCCCACTACATCCCCTTTCTCCTCTTTGTCTTCCCGCTCTTTTGATTTTGATATTCATTTGATGCTATTCTAGAATTCATCATTAACTTCAGAATGACTTCAAATAAATGATCCTTCTGCCTTAGTTCCCAAGTGTCTGGGATTATAGGCATGTGCCATTATGCCCAGATGATACCAAATGTTCTGGGAGCTGTGCGTCATATGGTCCTTACCTTTCCCATTCTTAATAGGAATCATCAAGTCTTCAGGAAAGCCAAACCTCAACTCAGATACACAGATCTGACAACCTCTTAATAGGGGCTGGGAAGAATCAGAACCTGCTATTAAAGGACTGGACTGTCTAAGATCAATAGCATCTTTAGTACAGGGCCAATTGCATCTAATTGTATACATTATGACCTTCATTATATCCTGTATATTATGAAGTATCACAAGACATAAAATGAACAAAGATAAGGCCATATAACAAGATTCATCCACAAGACTGTGAGAAAAAAATTCTAGTATAGAAGTTTCTAGGAGATCAGAGTCTGCCATTACAGGTTTGGCTAGTCAAAACCATAGACATTTGAGCCAGGAGGGAGCATAGTCCTGCCTCAAATTCCACAAGGGAACTGGTTGAGAATAGATTAGAGACTTTTTAGTCATTCATTCATTCATTTATTCATAAAGTTCTGATCATACCTCATGGAATTATCATCAGACATACTGACTGCAACTTAGGGTTCAATTGTCTTGACCCAGCTACATGTGTTTGGTTTTCAGGGAACTTTTTCACATGGCATTGGCATTTGAGCAGAGATCCAGAGTTGGGAAGATGGGTGTGGGTGAATCAGGTAAAGGGATTGGCATGGGCAGAACCCCTGTGTCAGAAAGGTCGAGTGCTCTGAGGGAGTCAAAGAAGAGTAAAGTAAGGGACATGAATCATGGTGACATTCAGTTTCTGCCTTGTTGAAGCAGCTGAATGATACTGCCATTATGGAACCTGGAGCTGAGGAGAAGTTGTCTATATTTAAGAGAACTATGCCAGCCAGTGGGCATATTGATGGAGCTTTGGGTTGAAGCCTTTGCTTCCAACCAGGGCTGTGTTATCTTACAGTGAGTCGGACTGTAAATTTCTTACTGAGGACTTAACATTGGGTGTTACAAAATATTGACATTTGATAACAAAAATAAGTGTCAGAACATAATGTTCATTTCCAAGCATTAGGAGGAAGCCCTGGGTTGAGTTCCCACATTGACATGCTTGGTGAACCCTTTGTGGAAGAGCATAACTAGTGTGCAAAGCCCTATGTGAGCACATCAGGGAGATAGTGATTAACTCTCCAGTTTGTGTTTGCAACAGAGAGGTAAGAGAAGGACCGACCGAGGCATACATCACCAGACCAGACCTGAAGCCACCACTGATGGCTGAAGCAGATACCACTGAGAGAAAGAACAGTCAGTCGTCAGATGACAAATACAGTGTAGAAACGAACTGACTGAATAGATTAAAGGGATGGAAGAATTAACAGAAATTCTCAAAAAGTAACCACAAGTACCCCAAATTAGGTACAGACAAGGAACATCCCTTCCCTGCCTCCACGGCACTTGCTCGTCTGTGGTCTGGTTAATGGGAAGAAAGTGCCTCCTTTTGCCTAGAGCTTTCACCTGTGAGTCAGTCTTGGCAAAGAGCAGCAAACGGAAACAGAGGGGCAGGAATGTGTTCTCTTCTCTTGTGGAGGCCTCAGCCAAGAAAACAGGAAAGAATGTGTTTGTATTGCCCTGCATGCTTTCATTCCTATTACGTGTGCACAGAGACCCAAGAGAAAAAACGCAATTTGGTAATGCACTGATAACTACATTCATGAATCACTGGTCTAAGAATGATAACAATCTAAACAATGCTAGGGGAAGGCAGAAGGGATAGAGGCAGAACAGAACCAAACTGTCTCCATTGTGAATGACTGACTACAATTACATCCAAGTCAATGTCTAACTCTTAAATGGATAATTTTCACTGCATTACGAATAATGTGTATGTTTTAGAAGCTTAGCAACTACTGTAAAACCATCAATTGAGTGTTTTAAAGTTTTATTAAAAATGTACTTCATTGAGGCTACTATGTATTGGTGTAGGTAACCTTTGAATTTAGCTGGTTGGGCTCAGCTGAATTATGAGGTGACTGGGGCCAGGAGGGGCTGGGGACCAGATGTCAGATGCATATCTAGTCGTGTGGGCTGGGGCAGAATCAGCAGCCTTGCATGCTCCAGGGAGACTTGACAATGTGTATGAGTTCCATAGCAGCTGTTGGGCCTAGCTGGTCAAAGCTGGCTGAAGAACCCTTTCAAAGCCTATCATATTTATGTAATCGGTATACACTGGCATCTGTATCAGAAAACTATTTGTAAGTGCTCAAGAATATAGGTAACATGGTCCAGACTTTGCTAAGGCATGTTTCCCACATCTGTCTCTACCCACATTTAGTGAAATCCTCAGAGACAACATACTAGCAAGATCTAAACAAGCTCATGTTGCTTTTCCTAATCAATAAAGGGTCCCAAGAATTCTGATTTCAAAAAACATAGACAGAGTTTGTTGTTTCTGCCTATTCTTTCTTTGCTGGCTACTTTATTCCAGTTTAGGATACAGAAATACATCAGACTGGAACACTCCTAGCTTTGTGTTCCTCCTCAAACTTTCTTCATGATTCATTGATTTATGTGCTTATTTGTCCATCCATCCACTCACACATCCACCTATCCCACCCATCCATCCATCCATCCACCCACCCACTCACTCATGCATCCACCCATCTGTCTGTCCGTCCATCCACCAATCCATGGTTAACCATGGTTAACTACAGGACAGCTCCTGCCTAATTTGGAGGACTAAGGGAAACAGACACCCACTGCTTACCCCAGCCCCCTCAGATCTCACTCTTCATGCCATACCAGAGGTGAGAGCTTTCCCTCTGGGCTTCATCGAAGCAGCAAGGAACTATGCATATATTCAGGCTGAGGAGCTCAGTCCCCAGTGGGCCACTGGCTTGGCAAAGGGAACCGTACACTAGAGGAAGGGATTAGGGATAAACACTCCACTAGAAGAACTATGTTTTTTTTTTTTTTTGCCTGATTATTTGAAATGAATGTTATTTCCAACTTCTATATACAATTTGCATCACTATTGCAGAGGAGAAGAAACCATGATTTAAAAAAAAACAAAAACAAAAACACATGACAACTCTGAGCAACTACATGTGATCTTAGCCAAAACCTCCAAGAAGTGATTTGAAATGAAGGGTGAGAGCTTGGCGCACCTCTCGCATGTGACCCGGATGCGCTCATCGCTGGATGACTGTTGCTCATCTTCCTTTTCCCGGAAGTGCTCCTGCACGCACTGCTCCTCAAACTCATGCAGTTTCTTCAGCTCCTCCTCACTGAGGAACAGCTCTGTGTGGGGGAGAAGTGTAGGACATGTGAGAACCATTTGAGAAGAATCACTTTAGCTGTATCTGTGTCATCGAGATAGACTTAGATTAAGCTTCAATTCTATACCACAGTTTTCTGCTACTTCAAGTAGCAAGCTCCCCACGCCACCACCCCCTCCCAATAAAGAGAAAATCTGTCTCATGCAGCATTCCAAATGCTATGGGAGCAAAATGGATCATGTTTTAAATGAAAAACAAAAGTGAATTGCATCTGTCTGGAAAGCAAAAGGGTTCCCCAGGAAACGCTTTGCACGTTATTGCACAAACACCCAGGCTTATGTAGCTTCTTTTCTTACTTAGCTCTTAGCTCTTTAGGTGGAACACATTAATACATTGAAAGGGGTCTAGAAGCATAAGGGAGTATACATAGAAGAAATACTTTTGCGAACTTTCAGTCATTCTAAAACACTCAGCAGTTGGACTATCGGTGAGGCTGCAATGGGAGTGTCTATTTAGTACCTTCTTTTGAAATTATCCCACAAATAGAAATGAAGAATCCCCAACGTACTCAGCCCACGGTCCCGCTCCTCCTGGTCCCCTTCTCTTTTTTTCCTGCAGCGACCACTGAGGCGCATAATGATGATATAGATGTGGCTTAAAATGATCATGGGTGGGGGCAGGACCGGCCTGTCATGGAATGTCATGATCAGTTGGTATCGCTGGAACTTCCACACTTGGTTGGATATTGACTTGACTTCAAAGAAGGTATTGCTTTAAAAGAAGACAGTTTTACAGTTACTTTTTGTTGTGATTTCGGGGCTTTCTGTTCAATTTAAATGAAAATACATCATGAGATGGAGTTAGTATAATCTACTGAGATAGATTCCTTGCTTATCTGATTTTTTTTTTTTTTTTGCCTTCTCCACCAGTGTGTATTATCTATGCTCAAAGACATATCAAGTCTGTTGAATTTTGGCTTACACCATTTTCTTAAAAATGCACAGCAAATGCTGCTGGCTAATATGCTTGGTGTGTTATTTCATGTTTTAAAGGTCCTTCAAAGAGTTAAAATTTCCAATTCAAATGTCTAAATGGCCTACTTTTGTACTTCGTGGATGAGTGGCTGATTAATTATTGAGCTTATCTGGCTGAGAGTACACTATTTTGGATGTGGGCAAGTGCAATCTTTGTTGTATTTTAGCTTCCCGCAGGAGTCAATCAATGTGTGGATGCTCTGTCGGTTAACTCTGGGAATTTAAGAAAGCCTGCTATTGTCTAGAGACTATAGTTTTTTCTTTTTTCGAGCCCCAACTGGAGTCTTATCTTGTTACATGGTAGACTTTACAATTCTAGGGACAATTTTTCTTCACATTTCTCATTTCTCAATTAGCAGATTTTTTTTTTTTTGAGACAAGACCTCGTGTAGCCCAAGCTGGTTTTGAACTTGCTGAATGGTTGAGGGGGTCTGTGACTGTCTTGATCCCCTTACTCCTATTTCCCAAATCCATCTTAGAATGTAAAATATAGTGTTTCAACATTTTTAAAAGTATTGCCAACATACTCAATGCATGTCAAATGGGCAGGTTTATAAAAAACTTAATAATTTGAGCCACTCTGCTGTTGTGACTGATATGACTTGATGCTTTATAACTTAGTATTTTTGTGTCTCTGACAATGAACGAAAACACAACTTGCTGAAATCTCTCATTGGGAAGACTTCTACTTGAGAAAAGATTTCCATTAGATTAACATGTGTGCTTTGGTGTTAAAATATTAGTCAAGATTAAATTTAAATGATTGTAAGTGTTGATGCTTGATATATGACCACATGACTGATTAAAGTGGAACAAAAAGACTGCAAAAACTTTATCCCTTTAAAAGCATGAGTAAATTTCTCTGAACGCACATGCAGGTATCACCATAAGCTTTGGAGATCTGTAGAGCAATGAACAACAGCCACAGGGCTTTGTCATGACACTTACTTGAAAACAGCGATCAGAAGGTTGACCAGCAGGATGTTGGCTACCAGGAGATAACAGGCCATGAGGGCAGGTGTGAGCCAGGCGCCAGGGATGCAGGGAGGCAGCCGCTTGCCTTCCTCATCATAGAGATTTTCACCACAAGGAGCTGAAAGAAAAATGGGTGGTTTGTTTTTTAAATGGAAAAATAGGATAAATATCTATTATATGTGTTGTAAATAATATTTTTTCTTTGGGGTGTATGTGCCTGTGTGTGTGTGCACATCTGTGTATCTGTATGCAGAAGTCAGATGCTCTCCACCTTATTTTTTGAGTCAAGGTCTCTCTCTGGATCCATAGTTTGCTATTTTGGCTACACTAGAGCCAGCAAGCCCCAGGGATCTTCCAGTCCAGTATGTGAGGCTGCACCTTGTTTTTTCACATGGGTTCTAGGGAATAGAACCCAGGTCCTCATGCTTTCACAGCAAGCACTTTACCCATTGAGCCATCTCCCCAGCCTTATTTTGTTTGAGACAGTCTTACTATATAGCCCAGGTTGGCTTACAAACTTGAGATCCTCTGGCCTCCAGTGCTGGGACTAGTTATGCACCTCCCACACTTGACTTAATTTGACTTTTGTATTTCATAAGCAATAATTTTCTAAGCAAATTATCAAATAACATAATGAAATTAATAAAATTTATATTTTAACTCTGAGATAGTCATATTCATCTTGTTCCATTTGCAAACATTTTCCATTTTCTTATCACTCCACCCCTTCACCATGTTTAGAAAACATGTTTGTTTGTTTGTTTAGTAGTATCAGGGAAAATGAACACAGGGCCTTGTGCTAGGCACGCATTCTACAATTGAGCTACTATATATATAAATCAGTTCTTAATGATGATGAAACAGACCCATTTATCATCATTGTATCTTCCTATGTTGTCTATTAGAATCTTATTCTGTCTTTTAATAAATTACTATTAGCTTATGCTATCTTCTAGTAATTTCCTTGCTTTAATTATACATTAACTCTGGAATCACTTTTGGTTTCAGGTGTGGGCTAGGGGTCTCTGAGAGGGCTAGTTGACCCTCTCAGATCAACTATGGAGTCAAGTTTGAAAGTGAATTCATTCCCTTCTGTTCTCTAAGGAGACCTACTTCCCAAAGCAGGGAAAATAGGATGATCCCAATGTGGAACTTAGTGTCTGCTTACTTTTTGTTTGCTGTCTAAAAAGTACTGGCCTCAAGACAATTGAAGATATATTTAAAAATAGGATCAGAGTATCAGTAACCCACTGAGGAAAAAGACGACTTAATAAAACCTTTCACAAAATACCCCACCAATTCCACATGAACTTACGGTTAATTTCCATGGCGTAGACTAGACAGTCATTGGATGTGAAGAGTGTGGTTTGTTTTTCAGTTGTCCCAAGAGGGGAGGAAAAAAAACAAGATGATGGGTGAGAGGAACATAAAACCATTTACCAACACAAGAATTGCTTTGCTGCTAAGACATGCAAAGACTTGGGCCTGCTTAGAATAAATGTATCTATTATCAACCCTGAGCAACAAATCTCATGAATATTCATCTAGCCATATGTCTATAAGCATGGGGAAGACAGTTTGTTGCTGCAAATGATCCTTTGAACTTTCAAGTGTGACCATCAAGCATTCCCTGTGCCTTGAACACTCAGCAGCAAAGGTCTGGTGGAGCAATCAGACGAAGAGCTGAAGACCTGTACTGGTGTTGCTTGAAAAAGCAGTCTTTTTGTTTGCCTTGTTACCATCTCTCATTAACCAGTGTGATCAAAAGCATGAACAGCTGTGTCTGTAGTCCAGAAACTTCTGTTTACTTGCTTTAAATATGTAAGTTTAATTAAATTTAGTTTTAGACTAATTTCTCACATGTCTACAAGGTGTACCAACCACTTTTATTCCTATCTTCCTATCTTCCCTGTCAATCTCCCCTCCTCCCAAATCTCTGTCTCCTATTTTTTATTTGTTTTATGACCCACTTAGATTAATCAGGACCACATGTGTGCCCACTTGTTTGGAGTTAATCTTTGGAGTCTTGTGGGTTCAGCAGAGAACACAACTACAGACAATGATTTCCCCCACTCCCCTTCCCAGAGTCTATCGATAGCCAATAGTTCAGAGGCAAAGGGTAGGGATCTGTGAGTGCCTCCCATTTCCTTGTCTTGTTGGTGGCTTGGTGTGGTCCCTGTGCAAGTACAGTTGTGAGATGTTGATTATAAGAGCTGTATTGAGTCTAGAAAATGACTATCTGTAGCCCATCCTTCACCCTATCTCCATGACATAACGGGAGGGGAATAAGAGGGATAATGGAGGAAGATAAATATGTTTTCTCTCTTATGAAGAGTCCAGATTAAATATATACACATACATGTTAAATATACATACATATGTAATACCAAAGCAGAAATGGGAAGGAAGGGGCCAATAAAAGAGGGGAATAAGGGACATGGAGAATCCTGGGAAGGGGGCAGATAAGGACAAGGTACAGTGATATGCAGTGTGAAATATCATAATGAAGCCCATTCTTTTGTATGCTACCTAAAACACAATAACTAACTGGAATAATAGGTATGCTTACTTAAGATAATGTGCTTTTGAAAAAATATATTTTGGTGTTCAGATTGACAGAGCTACAGTAAATGGTTAGTTTTGTTATATTTGTAATAATGACAACTTTAAAAACTATAAAGAAGTCATTAGTCCAATCCTGGGTCAGCAGATATACTGACAACTTTGTATTCACACAAAAGGGGAGTGTTCTAAACCTCCTGTTTCCAAAGAGCAGAACTCCGGAGGAAGCAGAGACACTATCGGACTTGGTGCTTTGTGACAAAGTGTGATGGGCAGATGTTATTGATCACTGTATGGAAATAGGACTGAAGTGCCTTATTCATCAGAGTCCATGTTGTCCCAGTGTAATGGGCTCAGGAACATCTTAACTTCACACCCAACAGCACAGAGGTACTGCCATCTTCAGGGGCTGGGGCTTAGAGCCCATCCTCACTGGTACTCCTGTATATGTGATTGTCACAATGTAAATTTGTAAAATCATGTGCCATTTAGTAAGTAAATGATGAATACATTTTTTAAAAGAACACCTGTGGAGAAGAAGGAATAGCTATATGAGAAACAGTCTGTCATGACATGAAGAAGAGGAACCACGTGAGGTATCTGTCACCCTGCTGTGCTCACTGCCTCATTGAATAGCCCTACCTTCTTTATCCTGGGGTGTGAAGATATCGGAGCTGAAGACAAATTAGTGTACTGGGGCTACATCATATGACGTAATATCCAACAGCAGAAGGGAAGTAATACTCAATTCTAGAGTGAGTTTTAGTGAAGAAGAAACAGCCAACACCTCAAAATCTACACTTCATAGTCTGTACTTATTTTTTTCATAAAATAATCCAGTGCCTGTGGCAGAATAAAAAACATTTTACTTCCAAATTAATGAGTGCTCTTCCATTAACTTGGAACTGATCCATCTGCCCTGGAAGCAGGGAAGAGAATCTTACTATGAATTCTAGTCTTACGGTCTATCTGGTCTGCAAACACCTCTCCATAGATCATCCAGTAGGGCATGTAGAAGATGTTTCGGGCCAGTTTCCAAGAAGGCTTCTCCTCTGGGTGCAAGATGGCTTGGCGAGCTACTCCAAAACTCATCAACACAACCAGCATGATGACCACAAAGTACAGCATGTCAATCATCTGCATAGGAGGAACATACATCTTACAGTATTGGCTAGTGGACCAAGTTCACCTTGGCTTATACCATTATGCTCTCCAAAGGTGTCACTTTAACTATGATAAAGAATGCATCTTTCCTTCTCATCCACAGGCAAGTAGCTTTTTATATCTCGTTTAAAGTGTGTGTCTTATTCCAGAGCCCTACTGCCTTCATTGGCCGGGATCTTTCTTGCTTCTTTTATTGCTGCCCATTGCGCTAGCTCAGTTCTAGAGTGCCCCTCACTGAAGGCTTTTGAATCACATTTTCTAGTTTGCATCTAGAATACCCCTCACAAAAGGCCATGTGTTAAAGATGTAGTTTTCAAGTTGACACTATTGGTACCCAGGATGGAGGTGGAGCCTTTGAGGGGTGTGGCTTTGTGGGAGGTCCTTAAGTAATCAGGATGATGGTTGACCCCCCCATCTCCTTTCTCTCTCTTTCCTTCTTGCCTTCTCCTGTAGGCAATGCTTGCTCCAACATGTACTCTTACCAGGAGTTGCTTCCTTGACACACACCCAAAGCAGCACATTCAGCCAGCCATGACTGTGAGATGTTATAGGCATTTTCTTTTATAGGTTGTATTTTACTATGGTGGCAAAAAGCTAAGTGACACACCCACACACAGATGTTCTTATGGTAATTATAACTGCAAATAGGGAAAGGGCTGGCTGTAGTGGCACACATCTTTAATACTTGGGAGGGAGGCAGAGGTGGAGAGGCTGTTTGTGAATTTGAGGCCAGCATGGTCTACATTATTGATTGCCAGTCCAGTCAAAGCTATGTAATAAGACCCTGTCTTACAAATGAAAAGCAATAAGAGAAAGGGAGGCCTCATCAGAAAAACATGGGAGTTTCTAGGAACAGCAAGAGAGGATTCTTCTTGGAAATGAAGTGTGAAGACACAGTAATCTCCATTCATTACATGGATGCTGAGTGCTCAGCACTCTAGATGCTAGACAGATCTAACTCCCATCCGTTTCTGTGCTGCTATGGATTGAAGCAGGGCTTCATCTGTTCTAGGGAGGAACTGAGCTACATCACCAGTGCTAAACTACTGTAACCCCCAATTTAAGCAAACCACCCTTTTTATGAGTGTGGGTGCTTTGCCTACAAGTTTGTCTCTACCACATATGTGCAATGACTACAGGAGATGTCAGAGCACTTGGGCCTGGAGTTGCAGACAGTTGTGGCCAACATAAGGCTTCTGGGAACTGAATGAACTCAGGTACTCTGGAAAAATAGCTAGTGTCCTTATTCATTGAGCGGTCTCTCTAGCTCCTATAATCCCTAATTTTGAATACCCCTGAGTATGAGGGTCCTTATTGGAATTAACTAAACCATATGTCCTGTAAGTTCAAGTACACCGGTTCTATTAAAGTATTTTAATTGATAATTATTATCCTATTACTCAAGGTGAACCAAAGTTCACCTTTCTTCTGGGACTAGTCCTAACACAAACCATTTTAGTAATGTAGGGACAACTTGTAGGTTGTGATTAGTCTCACATTCTGTGGCCTGCTTTGAAATAAATGTCACCATGGATGTGTCTCAAACTAATCACACAAATAACATATGTCTACCACCCCAGGCCAGAGCACATGAACCAAAGACTGTTGGATTACAGGTAGGGGCCAGCCTTGGGCCCCATTATCATTGACTTCTGCCAAAGGCCAGGAAGTTACCAATCCAAATTTTACTACGAAAGCTTTCCGACATGGATAAAACTTCCTAACAAATGACATCCAGATTCTACTGTGAAGAAGTTCTATGATGGTTCCAGTCCCCATGATGCAGAGCTAGTACATTGATATATGACTATTGCTGTTGCATTATTTTTTAAAAATATTTAAATATTATATTTATGCGTATGGGTGTTTTGCCTGTATGTATATCTATGTAATACATGCATACAGTGCACTCAGAAGCCAGAAGAGGGTATTGGCTCCCCTGGTACTGGAGTTACAGATGGTTGTGAGCCACCATGTGGGTGCTGGGCATCTAGCCCAGGTCCACTGGCAGAGCAGCAGTGCTCTTAACCTCTGAGCCATCTCTCCAGCCCCCTACTACTGAACTCTACTACATCTAAGGCTCTCCTATGACCTGGGACAGCAAAGCAAATTCTTAGGAAAGTGGAGGATGTTTCTTTTCTCTTACTACCAAAATTTAATCAGTACAAAATCAGAACAAATTTGATTAATGCAACTGATCATACAACAGTTTAAATATGACATGTATTGAGCCCCTGGTATTTAGTGAGAGACAGATGTCTATATAAAGATGTGTTTTTAGGAATCTCCAACTCATGGTTTCCTGTTGGAATTTATTAAGATGTCAACACATAGGGCAATTGTACATGTAAAGCCAGATGCAAAGGAAAGGCCAAATGAAATCAAAGGAAGCCACACTCAAGCCTGATCCAGTGTTCTAATGCCAGCCAAACTATCTGGTTATTCATGGGGAGTTGTTACTAACCATCTTTCCAATCATCATCACGTAGGGACCAAGGTATTTGTTGACACCAAAGATGTCTAACACTCGGATGTACCAAAGGATGATGTCCACACAGTAGATAACCCGGCCATAGCCCATGTATGGCTGGTTCTGGAGACGAAGGATTGCTCCGACCATGAACATAGAAATGGCCACGAGGTCCGTGATGTTCCAGTACTCCTGCAGCCACACTTTGACTTTCTGGCTGAGTTTGCCTGGTTCCGACATGAGGATCTGGAAGTAAACCCCAAAGAGCAGTAAGCTGAGAGGGTCCTTTCAAAAACCTCATCTTCATTAGAATCTAGGAAAAATAAGAGGGCTGGGACATTCCAGGGCATCTGGACCCTTTGTGGCTCAAGATCTCTGCACATGAATTTTTTGAGCAGAGGGTATATCTAGAGGGGGAAATTCCATGGAATCCTCTGTTTTCTTGGATTCAGGGGTTTCATAGATTCAGGAAATGCCTTCCAAATTGTCTCCTTCTGGCTGTAATTAGAGCAGCTGTCTTTTGATTCCCTGTTTTAATTATCTGGATTCATGCCTGTTGGCTCACATTCCAGAACTGTGAAGAAGGAACACTTCAGGGAGAGTTCTCTCTTACCACAGGGGGACCAACCCACCTGGTGGAGATGGCTGGATAGGGCTGGGAAACACAGACTTGCCAAAATTCCTTCTCAAGTTAGACATGACAAGTAAGGGGAAGTCGAACCATATTTTTCCTCCTGCTTGAGATATTATCCTTTTGTATCACCACTGACTAAAAGGATACTTTTGCCAAGTAAAGGGGAAACTATCCAGGCAGCAGTATGCACAGTCATGCACTTACAGTCATGACAGGCACAGTGGAGGCATGACAGGGCAAGGCAGCCATGCCAACGTACCCCTTCAGCTTTGAAAATCATGGGCAAATCCCAGGATCCGAGGGACAGTTAGGGTATTGACTGTCTATCAACTAACACAGAATGGCTCACTGTCTCAGCAAGCTGTGTGTCCTGACTGAAAGCTGCCCCATCTCTCCTACAACTATAGGCAGGATAATGGAGGGCCAGCAAGATGGCTCGATGGGTAAAGGCACACAGGACCCGCATAAAAGTAGAGAGACAAAACTGACTTCCCCAGATTGTCCTCTGACCCCTACATGTGCCTCCCCCCATGATACACATTGTATAAAGGTCTCTTGGGAAGTCCTGGATGTAACAGCCACAGAAATCTAATGGAGCCCAGCTAGAGAAGCAATAGGAGTCATGGAAGAGGGTGGGATATAGAGTGAATTCAGAGCACTCTTGATTGCTCAGTTGTCACTTGGCCCATGACATCAAACTTACTCTACTGGATGAGGTCAATAGTAATTATAAGACAGTTGTATTTGTTCTGTATCCATTGGGTGAAGGTCAGCAATCTGTGCTCTGTTTCTTCACTGTGAGTTCATGTTCTGTCTGGATTAAAACCTTGCTGTTTATGAGTGAATATAGTAATTTCAGGCTTGCAGGTGACAGCCCATCCCAGGTAGCATGTTCTTTGCTGCCTGTGAAACTTCCTTTTGGCTTCCCATTTTAAATAAAGACTTCGGTGATACGTGTCGTGTGTGTGAGAGTATGTCTGTTTTCTCATCACTTAGTTTAAAATCTGGGCCCCTCGGTTGCAGCAGATGCTCTGGGCCCCACTCCAGGTTCACTGGAGCCTCTCACCAGGTGGGCTTGCCACCCCTTTGCTCCAGGTGCTGCTGTGAAGCCCACACATGCCCCTTCCTGGGAGGCCTGCCCTTGGGTAATTGGAGTCACCGCTATGCTGGGTGCCAAACACTGATGTGGGTATGAAGCTTTCTCCCTCCTTTGAGAGTGGATCATCTAAGGGGTTACACAGAGAGCAGCCTCTTTCTGAAGCCACACCTCATTCAGCTCCTTCTCCTCTGGCTTTCCCTTCCTGCCTCTTACCAAGAACTTTTCTTCCATGCCCCTCTGGAACAAGAGACCAACTATACAGGTGCACCGAGTGATGCAAAGCCCCAAGTTCCAGCAAGATGCCATTCCTGGGGCTGGGGAGGGAGATCTGAGTGAAGTGCCCCTCGGACAAACATGAGGCCCCGAGTTTAGATGTCTGGAACTCACATAAAATCTGGACATGGTGGTGTGTGGTCAGGGCAGTGATGTGAGTGGGGGCATTGCAGAGACAGAGGAATCCTGACTTTCTCTCCAGCCAGTCTAGCCAAAACAGTACTCCAAGATTATTAAGAGATCCTGCTTCAAACAGGACGGCAGATAAATGATGGAATGAAGCCAACCTACACCATCAGAGGCAAATGTACCCACATGGATGGGTGCACTCACACACATAAACACACACACACACACACACACACACACACACACACACACACACATACACACACACTTTTTAAAAGTTGCCATCTCGTGCATTCCCCCAGTTTTATTCTCAGGTCCCAGAAGACACTTAAATTTGTGCCTGCTTATACTTCGTATATCAAGTAACTGGCATCATTTGCTCTAGTTCTTTGATATACTCAAACCCATTTTTATTATCAAGCATCATTTATGGTGCTTTGTGTTTTGAACAGTGAGTTCAAAGTCAATCAGAGAGAGGAGGTGTGTACATCTTAAACAAGCGAATACTCTGGATGGTATGCCTCAGAGGGAGGTCCTGGGCAGCTATCATCTACTGTGCATTAATAAAATCTGAAATTGAACTTTGCAGTTAGTGGAGTGGGATCAGCCTTTTCAATAATCACCTCTCGGATTTTCTCTAATGCCAGGCTCACAATGTAGGAGATGACAATCCACTCTTGAGGGGAGGGCCATCCATCCATCTGTACCAGGATGACATAGTTAAACAGCAGCAGGTAGCCCAAGTAGGATATCTGAAGAAGAAAAGCCGGCAGTTGTGTCTCAGGGATAACTTTAGATGCTTCATCTACAAGGGTGCTTTTCTTCCCATAGATTGGCCTACTTAGTGGATACCCTTCCTCTATGCACATCACCAGCACAGAAACTGAGAAAGGTTGGGGGCATCCTACAACTTCAGTGCAGGCTCTGACTGTCCATGCTCGTCAAACCTTTGTTATGAGGTTGCAAGAATCATAATATACAAAGTACCTTTCTGGTAATTTGCTGGTGTCCTCTACATTCTGGGGGAAAAATGGCAAAGGTGACTTAACCTTCCTGCCTCACACAGCTCGTTCTTAAAGCTCCCATTATAGATGGACCACTGAGAATTTAGAAGAGATCATGTGAGTGAATTGTTTTCTGAGGCCCATAGTTCCAGCCTAAGAGCCCACTCACTTTCCAGTGACAGGTCTGTGATTTTCGGTGGCCATAATGAGTTACCTTGTTGACAAGGGAAGGGGTAGAGTTGGGGTGGGGAAGGGGTGAAGCATACAGGGAAAGAGCATAGCTGGAAGAAGGTTCTCTGCAGCTGGCTTTCCAAAATGGCGTTATGTAGGTAGGCCTGCTCTAATCTGTTCTTGTGTCCTGTCCTGCTCTTGCTACCAGTGAGCTGTGTTCTCAGAGGAGTAGAGCTCCTAGGTAGGAGAATGACTGGCTATTGCTCAGCACATCTGTGTGGTGAGGGCTTTAGGGAAGGAAGTCTTTGTTGCCCTTCTAAGTGTGTTTATGGTCTGGGTTCAGCCTTGCTATTGTTTCTATTGGAAATGCTCCCATTGGCGCATGTGTTCCTAGCCTGTGGTGCAGCCATTAAGAGCTGCAGCCTAGTGGGAGGTCAGTGGGGATGGGCCTTTGAAGGGAACACAGCAACTCTAGTCCTTTCCTTCTACTTTCCTTTTTATCTCCTATTTGGGAGAAGTGTGGTTCTGCTCTGCTACAGACTCCCAGCTATGATGAACTAACTTAGCACAGATCCAAAAGCACCATGGCCGACTATGGACTGAAACACCAGAACTATGAGTAGAAGGAACCCCTTTCTTTTTATAAGTTGATCAGTTGGGGGTTGGGGGTTATAGTAACAGCTATATACTTTTATTAACTACATCATTTTAGTGGGAAAAAGTGGGATCTTGAGTTGGCTCTTTAATTCACTAATAATTTTTGTTTTAAAACATACTTTATATTAATTTTTAAAGAAAATTGTGTCTATGTATATTTTGCCTCCATGTATGTCTGGGTACCATGAGCCTGTGGAAACTAAAGAGAGTGTTGGATCCCCTGGTACTGGAGTTACAAATGGTTGTGAATCACCATGCGGAGCTGGGAATTGAACCCAGGACCTCTAGAAGGGTAGACAGGGCTCTTAATTGCTGAACCATCTCTCCTGCCCCATTTTTTAATTTTAAAGCCAAACAAAACTTCCCTTATTTCAACTACTAAAAACATTTTAATAATCCTTTCCCTTAAGCAAATGTTTTGCTTTATGAAGTGCTCATATGGGGTTTGGATGGCCAATATTCCTGTGTATATAAAATATGTGTGACAATACATCAGGATCTAAAATTAAATCTCTCAATTACTACTAGTTTATAGCTCATTATATCTTAATGAAACTTTGGACACTTTTTGAAGCTTTCAAATTTTTCTTGATTCTGGTGCAGCTCGATATTCCCCACATAACCAAGGGCAATTGTCGGGGAGAGCCTTACTGTGTAAAACCAGAACTTGACAATGGGTGCATTATAGAATTCACAGATCTTTGTTCCAATGGGAATACTCCTCTGCTTTTTGTGCTCATTCTCCTCATCCCCCTTCCTCGAGCCAGCATCTGCATTTGCATCCTGGAAAATAGCACAGCATATGGCAGGAAGTCTGCAGGTGTGAACAGGCCATCCCCAGCTCATGGCAGGAAGTCTGCAGGTGTGAACAGGCCATCCCCAGCTCAAATAAGGCATTCCCCATTCCCAGCACAAAGTGGCCTTAACAAGGGAAAACTTTCCAAGTGCCCTGTTAGCAAGCTTTGTAAGTCCATGACAGAGCAAATCTGAACATTGAAAATGAAACCCACATGACCCTCTTGGGAGCCACTGACCACATTCTCCTCTTCCTTTTCTTTGCCGTCCTCATTCTCCTTGGATGTTTGATATGAGAGGTCATCATATGTTCGGAATTCCAGAAACAGGATGGTAGGTGGAATAAGGATCCCCATGATGACCTAAGTGACGAGGGACAAATCCAGCTTTAAGCTCTGGTAAACCAAAGAAAATCTAGTCTGTTGGTTACTTTTTTGTGTGTGTTGGGATGAAATATCTAAAGAAAAAAAAGTTGTGGGAGGAAAGGCTTGTTTTAAATCATCATAGTGGGGAGGAGAGGGAACAAAAGGAAAGGGGAAGGTAAGGCAGATCCCATCCTGGCAGAGAGGGGTGGGGCACCAGCCTGTGCTTTGGGCTTTCTCCCTTTTTCCTTTATTTCATCCATTTGTAGACTATGATGTGGTGCTACCCACATTTTGGTTAGGTCTCTCCTCTTGCCCTTAGTTAATTCTTCCTGGATACTCCCTCACGGTCCACCTAGAGGTGTGCTCTACTGATTCAACAACCTTAGACACCAAAACCTATAGGTGCTTATGGTCACTAAGTGACACAATATTTGACACATGCATCCTTCTACAAGCTTTGCATCATGGCTACATGATGTTACATGGCTGCTAACCTAATGCAATATAAATTCTGGGTTAAAAGCTGTTCTACTTATTGTTTAGTGAGTAAAGACCAAAAAGACAGCTTTATATACATTCAGTTCAGATATACTTACAAAGATTAATTTTTTAAAAATCTCATATCCATCTAGTGTGTACATGTCACACACGCCACAGTGAATTTGTAGTGATCAGAGCGCAACTTGTAAGAGTTGGTTCTCTCCTTCAACCATGTGGGTCTCAGGGCTTGAACCCAGGTTGACCTGCTTGGCAGCAAGCACTTTTGCCCACTAAGCCATTTTGAAAACCCTTAAAGGGGCTTTGATGTGTGTTTGGTTGATTTCAAGAACATGAAATCCTGGGAGCTGAAGGGCTGACTGTACTGTTGATGCTGTAAAGTCAGACTGGCCACACTATCAGTCACCTAGGATCCTGGGTTGTCCTTACTCCCATCCTGATGATCTGTGTTTTTATGTGCTGGATACTTTGGTAGAATCTCAGATCATGGAATGTTTGAGAATATCCACTGGTATTCTTTTTTCAAAAGAGAAATGACAAGCAATGCTGTGTTGTAACCCAGACTTTAAAAAAGTAACGTTTAAACATTAAATCCCCACACCAGGGTGGATGCTCAACTAGAGTTCTTGCCAGAATATATTCCTCCCTGCACTAGATCCCAACACCATGAAAGCAAACCACACAAATGAAGCAGGTACATAGCTAAGTTAAAATCTAATGAAATACAATAATACCTCTGTTTGATATAAAAAAAATATTTCAGTGTGAGGAGAAATGTGTGTTTTAGACTTGGAAGGCTCACGGAGAAAGGGCTGAGCTGGGCCCAGAGGATGACATGATCCTGGCCCAGAGATAGAAGCACAGCTGTTCTGTCAGAGCTTCTCTATGCTCCGCTGGTTGCTAAAAACATTCCAGGTATTAATTCTGATCAAACCAGAACCTTAACTTTTGTGTGTATCTTTAATTTTTTTTCTTCCTGAAATTTAGATTTCCCATCTGTTTTCTTACTAAGGATTAGCAACAGTGTTTGCTTCCCTGACCCTGCAACCCCAACACTTGGGGTCTTCTTAGTCATTCATTCAATCTATTAGTCCCCTGCCCCCCCCCCCGTGTGTGTGTGTGTGTGTGTGTGTGTGTGTGTGTGTGTGTGTGTGTTTCTGTGTGCAGGTACACATGTGTATGAGCTCATGTGTGAGCCAGAGGACCTACTTAGTTTGTTTTGCTTTGATACAGAGTTTCTCACAAGCCTGTAAGTCACCAATTAAAGTATCCGGGCTGGCCAGCAAGCTCCAGGGATCCATCTGTTATGTCTTCTCTGCAGTGAGATTACATGTCTGATTTTCTTTTTTAATGTGAGTCCTAGGGAATCAATTTAGGTCTCATGCTCACAAGGTTAAGCTCTTGACTGACTGAAGCATCCCCTTCTTCCTGAGTACATCTTTCCTTGGTCCCACAAACCTCTGTATGTAGTGTAATTGCCTCACATTCAGTTGTGTAGATTTCAAATGGGAGTTTGTAAACCACAGGGGCTTATTTATTCTATTAAGTTTTTTAGAATACATATGTTGAAAGCACAGCTTCAGTATTTGTCTGGTATTTATTTTTGCAGTACTTGGAATTAAACCCACAGCCACATACACCCCAGGCAAGGGCTCTACCACTAAGCTGTAGCCTTGTCCTGTTTTTACATTTAATTTGAGAAGATTCTCCCTAAGTTGTCCAGGTTGGCCCAAACTCACTCTAAAGATTAGGCTAGCTTAAACTCACAACCTTTGCTTCTCAACCTCCCATGTAGCCAGGATCATGGGCATGCACCATAGTCCTGGCCTCGTTCTTTGCTTGTTTTAGATTAATTTGCTTTCCTTGTGCATTTTACTTTTTACTCTGTTGCCATGCCAGGATGGAACCCAGGGCCGCATGCAAGCTACGCAAATGTTGAACTACTGAGCTACATCTATGGTTTAAAAAAAAAAAATCAAGATTCTAAATGTTTTTCCTATCAAAACTATGAAGACAGAGGCCTTGCTTGCCCTTCCGCTGCCTTCTAGGTTTCAGTGCTTCTGATGATGTATGATGCCAATCCAACATCCACCTGGTCTTCTTTGGTGCCTTTAAGATCTCTTTGATCTTGGCATCTGAAAACAAACTATATTTGTTAATATCCAAGGCTATCTGCAATAGCAGTATAAGAGATCTGTGTGTTGTGTAGAACTGGATGGAAAGGTGTAGCATCTGTATTTGTAAGATGTGAAGGCACTTTTGCAGGTTTCTATGTCATACAGGTTGAGTGCCAATCTGAAATCTTAAGTGTTCTATAATCTGAACCCAACACAATGCTATATGTGGGAAATTCCACACCTGACTTAATGTAATAAGTCATAGTCAAAATCCAGGCACCCTAGAAATAGTGAATAAAGTTAATCCCCAGGCTGGATATGTAAAGGGAATATGAAACAATTAATTTTGCACTTTGCCTTGAGCACCAAGATAGCTTATTATGTCTATATAAAAACTGCAGACCTAGAAAGCAATTGAAAGCACTTCTGGCCCCAGACATTTAAGATAAGGGCTAGTGAACCCGCAATGTTTTGCCTCTATCTTCATAGAGAGCTGATAAAATCAATATAATATAATTACTAGTTAGTTGGATTTCCAGTCAAATAAAATCTTTTCTCAAGATAATCTGGGAACTCTTCAAAACTCTTCAAACCTTTTCATTGTTTCATGTTCTCTCATAAGCCATGTGTAAGGGAGAGATGTTGTCAGCTAAAATTCTGTACTTTGCTTTTTGTAGATTAATTTATTTTTATGCATATGGTTATTTTGTTTGCATGTATGTCTGTGCACCAGGTGCATGCAATGCCTAAGGAGGCCAGAAAGAGCATTGGCTCTCCTGGAACTGGAGTTATGGGCAGGTGTTAACCACTGTGGGGGTGCTGGGAATTGAACCTAGATCCTCTGCAAGAACACTGAGTGATTTTAACCATTGAGCCATCTCCAGCCCCCAGGTCTGTACTTCAGTAGCATCTGGTGTCCTGTCTGGAGAGCATGCTCAGTCATGGTGGAAACACAGACTGTGACAAAACAAAAAAAGCAAAACAACAACAAAAAATAAAACCTCTGAAGTAAAGCTTGCTGGCTATACTGGGACCGGAGTATCTGGCCACCTGTCCCATACTGACCAGCTCAGACCCTGGGCAGCTTAATCACCAAGCTTTGACTTCCTCATCTGTAAAGCCAGAACTGTTGTAGTGTCTCCCGTGTGTGGTTGCTCAGGGGAATACAGCGGTCCCCTTATCTCTCTCATCTTATCTTATCTCATTTTATCTCATCTATGCCTGACATAGATGATGCTGACCTCCATGCCCTCTGTGTGTTGTCTATACCCCTGCAGCATTGCCACCCAGTGGCAAAGGCAATGGGCCATACATTTCACACCCTGCTGCCTCCTGAGCATCACCACTCTCTTATTTGGGGCCATTAATGAGGAACTTCAGTGTTACTTCAATACAAGCACTAGGATGTTGTGAAAGTTGATATATACTAGGTGACTAATGGGTAGGTGCAGCATACATCATGGATACACTGGACAAGCAATGATTTATGGGTTTTTTGGGGGGCAGGGTATAATGAGATCATGTGACACTTCACCATGGCACTCAGAACAACATACAATTTACAGCTCACACAGGAGAATTAGGGTAAAGCGCAGTGGCACAGTCTTCATTCAGTCTGCATCAGGCCCTTGATGCCCACAAACAAACAAACAAACACACACACACACAAAGGAACCTTCTGAACTGATTGTTTCTTGAATTTTCCATTTAACATTTCAGTCTGTGGATGAAGGGTTAACTGAAACAGAGGAAATGAAGACCTGTGCTTCAGGGCCACTGTGGATGGAATGAGCTACAGATACTGAGCTCAGCCTGTTGCTCGTCTCAGTGATCCCAGCCTAATGACTGCATCACGCCCACCTTCAGGCCAGGGTTCTTCCTCATGCGAAGCCTTCCCATCCACATGTCAGTCAGCAGCATCTGGCTGCACGTGTGAGCAATGAAGTCGCGATGCTTGGCTGCCACAGCCAGTTTGAGGCAGGTTGAGTTACTCCAGTTTTTGAGCTCATAGGTCAGAAGTTTCATGGCCACTTGCTCGTCGTGCTTGTAAGACTGGTCTAACAGCTCCACAGCAAGCTGCCCAAAATCTCTGAAGGGACAAAGATGTCGGTGGCCATGAAACATCTGTACTTAAACATCTGTACACTAAACATCTGAGTCGGGAAGAGATAGGAGGAGATTCAACATGTAAGACCCAAGAGAGCAGAGGTCCCAGTAAGGTAAGACCACACAGAAATACTTAGATTAATAGAAATGGGTTAATATTTAAGACAGAGCTAGCAGATAAGAAACTAGTAACAGGCTAACAGCTTTATATCTAATACAGCATCACTGTGTGTTATTTTGGGCTGGCGCAGTTGTGGGACCAGGCTGCTGGGAAAACATACTTGTAACATGTCCGTGGGGATTTGGGGAGCCACAAGACACACAGCACAGGACTGAAAGTGGCTTTGATGTCCTCTTTAAGTTCTCAAGAGGAGGGGGCAACAAGTAGCAAGCTCTATGAATGATCAGAGAGGGGACTGACTGTTCTTCCTACAAACAGAGCTTAACTATGTCTCTCAGACCCTGAGGAGACAAAGTCTTTTACTTGGACTGTATAAAGAACAAAGAGGCAGACAGAAAAGACGGGATCCATGGGTTTGCAAATGGTAGTAACTAGTGACTGCTTCTGAAGGTCCAAGGAGTGGGGCTGGTGGTACACCAGGATGGCTTGCGGGTATTGGTTAGGTTCTGATTTTAAATGTGGGTGCTGGCCATGTTCTTGTGTGTCGTATAAGCCAAACATTTAAAACATGTGCTTTTCTTCTCTTTTTTTCTTTTTTTTTTTTCTTTCTTTCTTTCTTTTTCTTTTTTCTTTCTTTCTTTCTTTTTTCTTTTTTTGTGGGAATGGGTTTGGAGACAGGGTTTCTCTGTGTGTTTTTGTAGACCAGGCTGGCCTCGAACTCACAGAGATCCACCTGCCTCTGCCTCCCTAGTGCTGGGATTAAAGGCGTGCACCACCACTGCCTAGCTAACAGATGTACTTTTCATGTGTTGTGTAAGACTTCACCAAGGCATTGATTACAAGATAATTCAACATGCTCAGTGCAATGAGACAAAGTATAGTTGTCACAGGGCCCAGAGCAGGGCACATGATTGCTAATAGCAGAGCAAGTGTAAGAGTCAAAACATGGAGAAAGTGACACAGATGAATTGTGAACATAGTTTGTTCTTTTTTCCTTATGACCCTGATTCCAATATTTAAATACAGCTATAGCCATTTCCTGCTCCTTTGTCTTGCTATGAGATATGATTAAAATATGGCTACATAGTGATCATTCTCCTCTGGTTTACTTCCTCCATTCATAGGACATTTTGTTGCAGTTATGAAGATGAAGATGATGAAGGGGAGAGTAGTCATCCCTGTCCATGGAAAGTTCTGAAATGTACAGTACTTTCTGGTCCTAGTCCTACAGCTGCAGAGGGACACATCACCAAGGTAGGACTTTCTAGAAGACAGGACTGCAATGGAGTGACTGCATCACCCAAAGTAGTGAACATATCTCTATTCTAAAAGTTCTTGGATTCTGGAGATAGAGATGGCTTAGTAGCTAAGAGCATTTGTTTCTTCTGCAGAGGATCTGAGTTCAGTTCCCATAACCCACATGGTGGCTCACAACTACCTGTCACTCCACCTCCAGGGGTTTGGACACCCTCTTCCAACCTCCTCAGACACCTCAGACATGTGAGGACAACCTCTTGCGTGTGCGCGCACACACACACACACACACACACACACATATACACGGGAGGGGGGCAGTGAAACACTCATAAAATAAATCTAAGAGAAAACAATGAAAGCCTTGGGTTCTAATGTTTAGAAGCCAGCTAATAGTTTTAGAACTCACTGCATCCAGAACAAAAGTAGAAGGCTTCCAAACAAAGCCGCCAGATGCTGGCACAGCTACCTGGGTGTACTGGCTTCAGATTTCCTGTCTGGCACGTGACAAATTTGGAAAGGGCTGGTAGCTCTTAACAACACATGAAACGCTGAACACGTTGGAGATCAGCATCCCTTCCTCACTCCATCACAGTGAGGACTGCTGTCCCTAGACTGCAGGGGCAGTCGGGCAGACACAGAATTATTGCTCACTGTAGCAGACATGTCTGAAGAACCAGGACGGGCTTAGGAAACACAACAGGAGCTATAACATGTGTATTGCTGAATGCTTGCTGTGGTCAAGTCCAGGGCTCTACCCGACCAGGCTCTGATGGCGAATGTAGGAGCACACCCTTTTCCAATAAGGAAAAGAGAGAAAAGGGTTCACACTGATACCTGGCAATACTCTGTCCCCCTTAGCCAGACCTGCCAACAGGAGAAACTAGCTAAACAGAAAGCCTAAGCTGCTGGGGGCATAAGTGCCTAATGCACATGAAGAGAAAAGGCCAACACCAGCCCCTTTTAGCCGTCTGCCCAATTCCAGGGGAAGAAAAATCCAGAAGGCCAGGGCCTTCTGAAATTCAGAGCCCAGGGCACAGATCTGCTGAAGCTTACAGTGAGTGTCTCTTTATGGGAATCTATTTCACTCCCTTTACAGAGAGGAGTACTTTGATAATTTGCATGAGAAAGCAGCAGACCAAACCAATGACAACCCAGAATAAGTCCAGAGGGACAGCAGTGGAAATACTGACAGATATGACAGGCAAGGCAGTTCAGTTTGTAAGTAGGCAAGGCAGTCGTGAGTAAGCCTCAGCCACAATGGAGAAGTGCAATGCTCATGGCTTCAATGGGGAGAGCACCAGGGCAGCAGTCAGCCTTGGCCTCAGAGTCCCTCAAGATCCTCACTTGGAATTGTTGTCCAGATCCTGAGAGATGTCATCTACCAGCTCACTCTCAGAGGACTCGTGGGCCATGGCTTTGTAGAGCTTACAGGCCACCAAGGCCTTTGCCATGCTCTCCTCGCCACGCTGCCACAGGAAGACCGCCATCTTCTGGCGCTTCATGAGCACGGCCCACACCATGAGCTCATGGAACGGGTACTGGAATCGACTCACGGCCGGGTCGTCCACATCGATATCAATCTCTTCCTCTTTCTTCTTCTTCTTTTTCTTCTTCCCTTTGGCTGGAGGTTCATCATCCTGAGAGGAGAGAAACTCATTTTAAACAAAATGGCTCTTCCTAAATTGGCAATGAATTAGCTCTTCAGGAGCTAAAGCGGAGAGGAAGACTTCCATATCAGAAGCAGCTGAGAGACTTGGTGAGCCAGGCTCTGGTCTCCACTCTGCATACTGATTCCTTTGGGAAGGTGCACATGCTTATTATGAAAAACAAATCACTTTAAACCAAGTGAATTGAAAGGGAATGTTGCTATTTGAGTAACGTAAACCACTGGGTTAGCAGCTTTCCCCTGCCCCCCAGAGAGTTTTCACTGAGGAGACAAAAACAAACATTCAAAGAAACCTCTCCATAAACTAAATACATATAGTGAAACAGGAAAGGTGAAGTCACTGTCTCTTCAGGGACATCCTCCAGCACAGCAGAGCACCAACACTTGCTTGCAAAGTATAGCTGAGCTAAGACCTGACAGAAATAGTGTAAGTGGGACCTGGCAGCATAGGTCTGTAATACCAACCAACCCAGAGGCTGAGGCAGGGGTCAGAAAGGTCAAGACCTTCCTGGGCTACAGAGTGAGTCAAAGGCAAGTCTAGGCAACTAAGTAAGATGAGATTCTGCTTCCAAATAAAAGTAATCGGCTTGCTATGCAAGCGTGAGGAATTGAGTTTAGATCCCTACACTGTGTAAAAGGCCAGATGAAGCAGCAAGGGCTTGTAACTTCAGCAGTAGGAGGCAGAGACAGGAGCATCCCCAGGGGTTTGATGGTCAAGTCAGTGAGGTCCAGCTTCAGTGAAAGACTGTCTCAAAAAATAAGGGAGAAGGGGGAAAGAGGGGATGGAGAAAGATGTACATTTTTTAAAACTCAAGAGATAGGGAAGTGTCCCAGCAGGCTCCTGCTGCTGCTAAGCCTAAGGACCAGAATTCAATTCCCAGGACCTGTATGATGGAAGGAGAGAACAAACCTCTATGAGTTGTTCTCACACACACAGAGGATTTTAAAATGTAATTAAAAAGAAATTTCAGAGTAAGAACCGGATATCACTGAAGCCGTTGGACAAGCAGAAGAGGTTAGAATGCTGTGTAAAAGTGAACTAGAAAGTCTAAATGAAGTAACTTTTAGGAATGTGGAAATGAGCAAGTTTGATACTGTAAGACAGGAAGCCTGGGTGATTTTGTAGTCTCAGTGCCTGTCATTGAGGAAATGAAAAATAAACTAAAAGCAGGACAAAGGACAGAGTGTCCCAGAGGCACATCTAACAGATCTTTGCACACTGGGTCAGTTCTAGCAGACTAAAGGACTTGAGTGAGACAGAGGAAGTAATAGAAAACTCGAGACTCACAGGGTAGAGTTAGAGCTGGGTCTTAGCTATGAATTATGAAGTGAAGCCTCCTTTACCAAATCCATTCAGAACAGGTTGCTGTGGGACACAGTAATTTACCTCATCAGAGACACTCCCTCCTGCAGTGGATTGGAATTAGTGCAGCTACCCACAACTGGATGCTGTGCAGAATGGAAGACCTTGGAACTCTAATTCTAAATGGGATGTTTTCACCAAATCCCTCCCCACTGGGCTCAGGGAACTTTGTAAAAGAGGAGGCAGAAAGGTTGTAAGGTCCAGAGGCACTGGAAGATAACTAAGAAACAGTGTCTTCCAGATACAACAGGATTGATCCAAAAGGAACTCACCGGGACTGTGGCAGCATGCATAGGGTTTGCACAGGTCAAAGCAGACAGGGTCCTGCACTGAGACAGGGAAGTGTACCTGAACTTCCATCCCCAACTGAGAAGCTCTCTTTAATTATTAACTGTTAGAAAAGGAGTCTCACTGGGTATACAAACCACAGAATGAACTCAGTGGTATCTTTGGTATCTTTGGAAATTTTTTGTTTCATATTGCTGTTTGAGCTTTTTTTTTTTTTTTTTAAACTTTACTAGTCTTTTGCTTATATGTTACAGCTTCTGGTTTTGAGGTTGTATGGGGTTTGCTTGTGTATGTGTGTGTGTGTGTATCTGTGTGTATTTGCATTTCTTGTGCTTTCTTAGATTTTTGTCTTTGTTAGTTTATTTTGTTGTATCCTTGTTTGTCTTTTTTATTACCTGTTTTTTTTTAAGAGAGAGAAAAGACATACAGTTGGAAGGGTTGGAATGTGGGGAAGATCTGTGAGATGGGGCAATCATGATCAGAATATATTCTATGAAAATAGCTTTATTTTTAAAAATAACTTGGCATATATTTTCCTTGTTTATCTTAACAACAAAGCAATACTGAAGACTTACTAATATTACATTATATATGAATTCTTAGGAAGTATTAATTTCTTATTCAGGACCTTAAAAAGTTTTATTGACTTTTTTTGGTAGTTTATAGTTTTTAAATTATTGAAGTAACATTGCTCTCGAAGGGTTTCTGTTCTTTAGTATTTTTTTAGAAACTGGTTTATGAATTTATAGAATTAATTAGATAGTCTCTATCTTTAAAAGTGACTATTATCCCATAGACACCCTCACCAGACATTACAGGCTGCTATCATTGCTCTTGGTTACCTTCCAGAACTTGATAGTAAGACCCCATTGATAAAGACACTGTATGCTTGAGTGTAGGAGAAACCAACCTGGTGATGATCTGGAAGCTTCGCCCCTGCTGGCTAGCTTTCATAGTGCTGGAAAGTTCTTTACACACTACCAGGGAAGAAAGGGAATCACACCTTACCTTGTTGGGGATCCTGTGAGCTACAGTAATGACTGGTGTGGCAAGACATGCCCATTTGTGCAATAGTAACATGAATGTTGTAATAGTAACCAACAACTTTCTGATTGGATTTAAAGCTAGCTTTACAAGATGGAACTCTTGTTCCTGTGCCTGGTACTGGACCCAAAACTCATTGCTGGCTATGACATAGGCCTTCATGGGTAACCTGATATGCCAGCTAAATGGAAAGAAACTTCTTTTTACAGAAAAGACTATAGAATGCTCATCTCTAAAGGGAACATTTACATCACATTCCCTTTCAGCATGGATGAGGGAAGAGCTTATAAAGTCCCACTCCTAGCTAGAAGCTACTGGCAATTGATGTCTATTGGGGCAAATTGAATCAGTTTTCATCAGGGATGAGGCTTCTGAGAGGCTATTCATGCTTTAGTACATCTATGTACGTACAGGCAGCACTGAGTGGACTCTGGCTTTAAAAAACAGTTCATGAAGTTGGGAGGGAAGGGTGGTTCGAGGATATGGGAGGGATCAGAGGAGAGTGCATGATAAGCTTGGGATGGGAGATGGCTTAGGGGATATAACACTTGGCTTTGAAGTGTGATGACTACTTCAGATCCCCAGAACTCATGTGAAAGCTGGGCAGGTGCCATATCTCCCTGTAATCCTAGCCCTTGGGAGGCAGAGACAGGAGATTTCCCTAAATCTAGCTGGTTATATAAAGTAAGTATAATTTACCAAGCTCCAGATTCAGGTTAGATAAAGTAGTTGTAATCAGCAAGCTCCAGATTCACAGAGAGATCTTGCCTCAATGAAAACAGTGAAGAGCAACTGAGGAAGACATGTGAGGACAACCTCTTGCATGTGTATGCACATGTGTATGTGTGTGTGTGTATGCACGCACACACAACCTCTCCCCTCCAGCATTTGAGTTTTTTAAAGGTGTATGACTTTTCTTATGATGAATTCAACTCATCTAAGAGTTTAGTGAGTTGTATTGAGTACTTATTCATGAAAAACATCACTCAATTTTGTGTTTACTGAAATCTAAATGCTTCCACAGAGTGACCAAAGCATCATAACATCTGCAGACTGACTCTACTTACTTCCATTCCCAGAAGTTTTAATGCTTTCGGCTGCATGAGGAAGAAGCAGGAAAAAAAATTAAAACATTTACTCAGATAACTGTGAGCAACATGTTAATAAGTCAATACTCTGTATCACTACTAATCAGTGACAATATCCAAGTAAGGAAATGCCTTCACATGGAAACTGTCCCTGTCAGTAGAAGTCAGTCTGGAAAGACATACAGACACACAGCCTTCCTTGTAAGTAGCACCAAACAGATCTCCCAGCAAATATTGTGGAGTAGGGGTGAGGAATACTCCCCACATCTATGATGTTTAAATGACTGGGCTTCTGACAGGCTGGAGCAACAAGAAGCTCATTTGGGTAGAGGAATAGGATCTATTGTGGGAGTGGGGAGGATGGCCTGCCACAGCTGTCTTGGATTCCTTGGATGAGTTTGGTTATAATTGTTTGACCCCCCCCCAGGGAGCTCTGGGTTTGGGAGGGGGCAACAGATGTTTTTTCATGCCCCTTGCTTTAGAAGATGACAGCAGCTCCAGTGATCAGTTGGGAGGACTGGTTGAGGGAGTAGAGACATGAGACCCAGGAGGAAGGCTACTGTGGAGAAAGGGGTGGGGGGCATGCTTGACAGATTGCACTGACAGACCCAGCATTAAGAGGTGATGTGCATGGCTGCACTTGGAGCTGGGAAGCCTCACAGTGGGGGTCAGGGCAGAGGCAGTGTGGGTGTACTCTGAGACAGATGGCGTGAAGAGTTGGGAAGCACATCAAGGAACCACATGCCACTCTGGGAGATACAGGACACTGCATGTCTACCAATCTCTACCCTCTTAGGGCCAAACAAGTTGTTGTAGAGAGTCCGGAAACTTTTACGAGTGTAGTTGCAGCGGTAGGCGCCTCCCATGAGATACTCCAGCACCAGCCCTATGTCAATGAGGCTGATGTGATAGTCAGGGGGAAGGTTGCTCTGTGAAAAGAGAAGGTCGAAGTAAGGACAGCATCCCACAAGTTAGGCACACATCATCACCCTAGTAGCAACTTGGAGGTTACTATAACAACTGGGCTCAGTCTGTTACCATATGATACTCAGGCATGGCAGGTTAAACCACATTCCAAAAACTGGCATCAGCTCTTCCATTGAGAAGAAAGAGTTAGACCCCCAGCACTGCGGAGTCTACGGCATACCCATCCCCAGACAGAGTGGTTTGTAGTTGGCATGTGGAGGTGGGGGCAGTGGTGTGGTGCCAATGGGGCATAAGCAGATTTATTTGTATGACACAAGCCCTTGATGGCTCCTTGGGAAGCAGACATTAGTCTCGGAGAAGGGGAACAGTGTGTCTCACAGGAACCTGAAGGAGGGCAGCGTATTTTTCAAGGCTTGAGCCTCTCTGGCGAAAGCTTAAATGGTACTCAGCGACTCTGGGAGACACTGGATATCCAGTACAAATACAGCCAGAAGCTTTATGCTATGATAGGGAGCTACCAAAGGGATTGAATCTTCTCAGTGTGGAAGAGGGTCTGCTGGGACAGAGTCCAGGTGTTGAAAAGTGGTGGCCTGAAGAGAGGCACCCACTGCATTGTGCCACTCATCCACATGCTAGACCAACTGGTACATCATTGTGCCAATTGGTTTTGTAATATCTGGAATGATCTATTGAATGCCATTTTTATAAGCAGACTAGCTACACTAGTTGAATCCTTTGCTCATGAAATCTGTAATTGTTCAGATCCTATTACGATCATTGACCATGTTATATATTTCTCACTCGTCAGACTTTTTCAGTGCTGAGGAGTGAGCTCAGGGCTTCATGCATGACAGGTATGCACCTGCTGTTGAGCTACATCCAAGTCCACAGATTTCTCATTGGTGACAAGGAGTGGGATGCTGAGGAGACAGATAAAGCTATGAGGAGCAGGGTACAGCACCATGTGAAACTCACAGGAGTGTCTGGAGATGCCTAGGTGGATTGTTTAGGGGGAGTAAGGGCTGCCAGGAGGTAATGACATGGGAGCAGTGGGGCAGGGACGATGTGGCAAAAAGAGAAAGAGCAAGTGCTATGGATGGATGTGAGAAGGGGTGGCCCAGACAGAACACAGTATCCCAGGGCTCCCCATGTTCAGGTGGATTGGTATAGAGCAGGTGTAGAATGTGGTGGGAGGAGTAGGAGTCACAGACATGGGCCAGGCCTGGTGGGAATGTATGTGTATTGGAACAAGCTTGAACTTCATACTGCAGCCATGGAACGATTTGAGGGTGGTGAGGGACTACAAGAGAAGGGACCATTCATCTGGGAAACAGTTGGGCTTGATTGCTCTCACTTTGAAAGTTTGTATTTCATCTCTCTTCCTCCTGGGTCTTGAGGGATGAGGCAGAGTACCTCTGTGTGAAACAAGGCTCTGCACGTTCCCAGATCCAGGGATTTTGTTCTGCTCTGTAGAAACCATATGCTCATATTCTTAGAACCGAATATTGATAAGAGAAATTAGCAGGCTGCCCAGGACTCTGTCTCAAATTCTAGAGACAGGTAGCTCCTGTGAGAATCTGATCTCATTTCTAACTTGTAATGACAAGACACAAGAGATGCCAGGGTAGGACTCAATGGGCAAGACCCCACAGGACACAGGCTATCCATAGAGGGGAGCCCTGGAGAATGAGGAGAGCCATTCCCCTTATAAATGAAGGGATTGCAGAGGCTGAGGCCCTCTGATGCAGAACACAGGACACACAGATCTTCTGAGGGGCTTCCTGTTGGTACTTCGGAAGTCGCCTTGGGGCCATACCATCATCCAGCAGCATCAGTGTGTCCCTGTGCTATGGCAAACTTATTCTACCTCCCGCTAACTTAAGTTTTATTTTTGCTTTCTGTATGTACATTTGTTTATTTGGCCTGCATGAATGTGTGTATGTGTGCGCAGGTACACATGCATGCATATGTGTACATGTGTGCAGAGACCTGAGGTTGACACCTGGTGTCTTCAACTTCTCTCTACCTTACATATTGAAGTATAAGGTCTAATGAACCTGGAGCTTACCAGCTCACTTAAGGGATTCTCTGGCATGCTAGGGTCATGGGGGTTGGGGATGGAAAGGTGGAGGTGGGAGGGGCCATGACCATCCTCTTAGATTTTTAAGAAACAATTTTATATATTTAGTGTGTGTGTGTGCGTGTGCGTGTGTGTGCCACAGTTCAACTGAGGAGGTCAAAGGAAAACCTGTAGAAGTCACTCCTCTCCTTCTATTGTGTGAGTCACAGAGATCAACTCAGGAACTCAAACCCATTGAGCCACCTCAAGGACTTCACCTAGATTTATAGGATTCTAGAAATCCAAACTCCCATTCCAAGCACCTCACAGTCATCTCCCTCACCCTTTATTCTTCTCTTTTTAAAGCTAAATGTAGCATGAAAAATAAAAGACCCAGAGACAGATATTGGAGTTCAAGCTTCAAGCTGAAGATCACAAAAGCAAAGAGCACTTGGCCACTAGCTCTCTACCTCAGCTGAGACCAGAGTGATGATCCTCAAACTGCTCCCCACTTCACTGCTCCTCAGATTCACCCTGTCTGCTCTGCTCTCCTCAACATGGCTAGACACTCCAGTCAATGCCTTCCTATCCTCAGTGTGGCTGGAGAATGAATGCCAGCTCTGAGACCCTGTTCCTGTCTTATATACCTCCCTAATACTGGGATTAAAGGAGCGTGATCCCAAGTGCTGAGATCATCTTTGTGTGAGCTGTTTCTCTTTAGGACTGGACATATTTCATGTAGTTCAGTGTGGCCTTGAACTAATAGAGATCTGTCTACCTCTTAATCCTGAGTCCTGGGATTAAAGGTGTATATCACCACAGCCTGATCTCTATAGCTTGAGGTTGGCTTTGCTTTCTGAATCCCCAGGCAAGCTTTAATAAATCATAAATAAAATATCAGTTATAAATGAACTCTTGTTATGAACAGGGAAGTCATTGTTCCATATGTCTCACACAAGAAGGCAACACATGTCAGAAACAAAAAATTGTTTTTATGAACTGTTTTAGTGGTGGATGCTAGTAAAGGGCAGATGGACTTACCTTCTTTACGTCCCTCACCAGCAGATGAAGGGTGTTTGGTGGGCCCAGTCTCTGAAAGGGAAGCAGTCAGCCACAGTAAGTATATTGGCTCTTCAACTCTTGAGCAAAATTCTTCCTCCACTGCGTTGTGGGGTTTGTAGTGTACTACTGACTCATTTATTTCATAAGACAACTGGCTGGGGTTACCACATTCAAATGTGTGTGAAATACTTTGAATAATGTATTGTCCTTGCAGTGTTACATATCTGCATGTTTTACCCCATTTCTGCCACTGAAAGTCTTTGAATGATGGAAGAAGAAAAACATTTTGAATTGTACTAGTGTAGGCAAAGCAGATTTCATCCAGACACTTCCTTTTCTGACACAGCACAACTCCCAGCTGTTTTCCCTGTAGCCAGGGAAACATGAGGGTCCCAAGCAACAGTTGACTAATAACCCTGGGGACTGTTCAGTCTGCTGCTGCCATAGGACATGAGGTCCCTTGCATCACAAGCATGGGATGTGAACGCAGACTCCCAGAGGTTCATCTGGGCATTTTAGACTTTTCTCTGTTGCACAGTAACACATGAGTCTTCACCAGAAACTGAATCTGAATCCTTTCCCCAGGCTAGTGAGCTAAAGTCCTTGCCTCATTCTCCATATGAGCTTCATCTCCAGGTAAACCTCATAATCCCCAGGGAATGCCTGATGCTATGGTGTTCTGTGTCATGATGGTCAGTGGGTTGGGACCATCAAGTTTAAGTTCACTTTCTTTTCTTTTTTCGAGAGACAGGGTTTCTCTGTATAGCTTTGGAGCCTGTCCTGGCACTCACTCTGTACATCCAGCTGACCTTGAATTCACAGAGATTTGCCTGCCTCTGCCTCCCAAGTGCTAGGATCAAAGTTCCACCACTAGCCGGCTTCAAATACACTTTCAATTTAGGAGACTTTCACTGCAGAGATGACTTCATGAAGATATGAGCCCATTGTAAATCAAGGATCATCTGTGTGCTGTAACTGGAGTGACTAGCTGGCATGGTGTAGTTGCTAAGAATGTTAACACAGATGGACCAGGAGCAAGTGAAAGTTAGCTACCCCCTACTACACACTGGACTTCAGCTGAAGTTGCCCCAGTGAGTCTATACTCAACTGAGCACTTTGTTGTTGTTGTTGCATAATATGTGTCAGAGATAAGAGTATTCTGAGTGTTTGCTCGCCTCCAGCCTTCTCTCTGGAATGCTTACAGTGTTGTAAAGTTCCTCCAGCCTCGGGATGGTGAGGAAGTGTTGCATGTTCACTCCATTTTCAATCAGGAGCTTCACAAAATCAACTCGATCTAAAACAAGAGCATCCAACATGGCTTGTTCCAAGGCATTCACCTGCATGAAATCCAGGAGGGAGACCATGAATTTCCTCCTTGGAGACTCTGGGCAGGAGACATTAGTACTCATCATGGAAAGTCCTGGAATGTTCTGAGCTGTATTCTCTGCTGCTTTGTTTGTTAATCTGGTGCTGGGAATTGAGCCCATGACCTCACATATGCCAGCCAAGAGCTCTACTAAGGGCTGCACCCAGCCTATGGTGCTCTGGATTGTTTCCTTTGAATAAACATGCCTTAACTTTCTCTCTTTTCTACTCATCCTGGTCCCCACATGCTCTGTCAAAGTCTGTAAGGGATTTTACGCTTTTAAAAATGAGTTGAAGATAGCTAGAGAGTTGGCTCAAAAGCTAAGAGTACTTATTGCACTCTAAGAGGACCCAGGTTTAATTCCCAGCACTAAGATGACCAGTTTACAACCTGCCTGCTACCTCCAGCCCCAGGAGATCCATTGCCTTCTTCCAACTTCTGTAGGCATTAGGCAAGTATGTGTATACATACAGATAAAGCACCCATACACATAAAATAATAAAAATAAATACATCTAAAAAAATTAATGATTTGAAGACAACCATCCCAATGTAGCTCTATGCAGTTTCTCTCTGCTGTTTCCTTGGCTGGTGAGCATCTTTTGGTAGTGGTAGGACCATATGGGCATGCCACAGGTCACTGGGATGCTGTACTGGCTGGCGAGTGGCCACACAGTCCTATTTATGGAACAAAGATACCACTCCAAAAGGAAGCTCTATTTTTGGTAGGCATGCAGATACTTGGTATAGGAAAATAAGAGAAACTAACCACATGTTTACCATTCACACAATGGAGCGCTTTTGAAGGTCGAGCTAATGGTAGTGTGGAGAGGGATGATGGGTGGGTAGCAGCAGCTACTCAGCTTGGGAGGTTAGATGCATTCATGCATGATGTTTCTAGGTCTCCCTGCTGCTGAGACACAGGCAAGCGAGGTCTCTCTAGTGACAAACAGATGCCATAATGACAATGCTCCTATTATGACACAGTAGCGAACACACTATTGCCACTGAATTATTGACATCGGCCCATCAATCCTCCACCCTGGTGGGGATGAAGAAAGGTAACCAGAGTGTCCCTTCCCTGTAAAACTAGGGCAATGCCAACTCTGGCCTACAAAGCAAGGACTTTGCGCTTACCCAGTTCAGTAGCTCGATCTTCCGGGGGTCTGTTTCTTCTTCCACTTCCTCTTTCACTTTGCCTTTCTTCTTGCCCTTTCCCTTTCCTCTCCCCTTGGTGGTGGCTGTCGGTGGCTTCTTCTCCTTCTCTGTGACTTTGGTGTCCACTGGAGGGGCAAGGCTTCCCAGTGGCTGCAATACACAGCAAGCAGTGTTGGGGAAAGGTACCAAGACTGTCCCTTATTTTAAGACAAGCATAGTGACACCCTAAACTCTATAGACATGCACACAGAGTATAGATACATACCTACATGCACACCCATGCACACATGGCATAGACTCACATATGTCCACACACATGAATAGCACACACGTATGCATTGTAATGTCTATATATGCATGTTCATATAAATAAGATGCACATGGTGAAGATGTACATGTGTACATGTGTACACGAGTATACACATATGCCTACAGCCACGGCAACGTATGCATCAGCACACACAGGCATGCACACATGTATACGTACAAACTCTGTCACCATGGCCTGGCTGTTCATCAAGGGCACAAAGACTTAATTGGTCTGATGAAATGGCTGTGAGTATTTGAAGTGCATGACATGTTGTTTGATGGGTTTACTTTGAGGAAAGGGTGCTAAGAGGCAAATTAAAAGGTACCAGAAGTGTGCTGATAGTCCCACATTGTGCAGCTCCAAGGAACCTGCCAGAGTTGCTTTAGCAACAATAATATCCAGCTCACATTTCTTCCTAGACAGCAACTTGCATTATTATCTGTTGCCTCTGACTCATTCATAGTTCACATTCTCCCATCACTGTGGTGATAGATGGAGGCTTGTTGCTGGTGGTTCTCTTGTCCTGTCAGGTCCCACCACCCTTCTCAGCCCCAAATAAACACACAGATGCTATATTAATTATAAAACTGTTGGTCAATGGCTAGGGCTTATTGGCTAGCTCTGTCCTAATTATTAACCCGTAACTACTAATCTATGTATCGCTAGATGGCCTTATCTTACCAGAGAACACCTGACTTGTCCTGTCATCTGGGTCTCCACATGGTGACTCTTTCGGGTGCTTCTCTTCCTACCTTTCCCAGAATTCTCCTTGTCTTCTAGCCCTGCCTATCTTCCTGCCTCTATTGGCCAATAAGTGTTTTATTCATCAACCACTAAGAGAAACATATATACAGAAGGACATTCCTATCAGAGGCTTCAGTGGTACTTACAGTGTGGTGACAGCTCAAAGACAAGGGCTGCTTGTCAAGTAGAGTAGGAGGGAAAAGAGGTGCATGGAAGCCAGCATCTGTCTGTTCGCCACCCAGACTCAGTGTCCACTCCATCTTTTTCTCAATGTCTTTCCTGGCACTCCATTACAAATTAGCACCCTATATACTCTCTCATGCATGCTTATCTTCTACCTTAGCTCCTCCTATAATTTGGAATCCAATAATTACCTGCTATTTTGTTCCACCCCAGCCTCCTCCTTCTTTCCATTTCCCCAGTGTTAGAGACTTTTGTGGTCTACTCTACTCACAGCTGAGTCCCCAGCACATGAAACAAGAGCCCCAGACACAAGAAGTAGCCATCAACCAACATTTCCTAAGTGAGTGAGTAAATATGCAGTTTTGAAAACACTTTGAGCCAGTGCAAAGCAGCAGCCTTCCTCTGTTACAGCTTCTGGCCTTGATGTTGTGGGGAGTGCAGAAGGCACAAGACTGTGACCGCTGGAGGAAAGGAGTTCTAGTTGCTCAGATGAGCTCACCTACTCTGCTTCCTGGCTAACATCTGGGATTCCTAGAACAACATGGGAAACCTCAGAGGAATAAGCTTGTAGCCTGGACTGGCAGAGGAAGGGTTTCTGACGAGGGACTTCAGGGGCTATCTAGAAGACAGCAGCTGATGGGTAGATGTAGCTATCATATACTTTAGTTGCTGACACTCCACACTGGATGTCATAATAGGTTAAAATGGAATATTAAGGAGAAGTCTCAGAGAACAAGAGAAAAGTGGTAACCTTCGGCCATGACGAAAATTAAGTGGATGACATAATTGGAGTACCACAACCCCTGATAGGGTAGTGACACACTAGACTAAATCTAGCAAGGTAAAAGATAACAAGGGAAAGAATCCCTGCCTAACCTACCCCATCCCTAGCCCTGGGTGCCTCCTGCCTGGCCCTAGAATGGCTACCACATCCCCAGAGCTGTGAGATAAGGGATTTATGTAGATGTTGTGCATGATAGAACCCTTGGGAGATTTCTGCAGATAGGTTAATAGGGTTTAAATGATTCTGTTTCTGGGCTTGAGGATGAATAGAGCCAGCACAAGGCAGGTAATAGTCATCTGTTCTGTGCTGGGGAGATCGCATACAACGCAGAGTGTTATGTTGTAGATACCGCACCTTTAAAAGGATGTGGGTTGGCATGGATCACATCCACAAAGAGGAAAGTTTGCTTCAAACTTCAAATATGGACCAAGCAATTATTGCTGGAAATAGTGTCTCTGACATTCCTTTGGGATCCTTGTGTGGCTTTCTAGCCTGTTACTGGTTTATGCTCTAATTTTTAGAGCAAAGAAGTCATTTTGATTGAAGGAGTGACTTAAGGATGTCTTTAGACACTTACCACACATGCTAAGTGAATGTACTCATTATGGTTGCATGTATGTGCACAAACACAAAGCTTGCCCTACACCATAATACACACAATCTTGCAACCATACACATACCATGGCTCCTTTTTGTATACATTTTCACAGCCATATATATACAAAATATCCCTCAATAAAACACACACACACATACATGCCTGCCTCCACACATTATACCACAATCACAACATATAGCATACACACAGACACTATTCTACAGATAAGACAAGCACAAAAGTTATACATGTCCATTCTACCTCTCTCTTTCTCTCTCTCTCTCTCTCTCTCTCTACACACACACACACACACACACACACACACACACACACACACGTGTGTTATAAACCCAGACAAAACCCATGTTAAACTACATGATACTACAACCCACATATCATAAGCCATATATGCCACACATGTGCTGTGCACAGACTTGTTGCATACAATACATTAAATCATACCACAGATACTAGACAAAAGACACTACATACAACAATCACATCATATACACATCATGCATGGAGTTCTCTAGCACCCCCCACCCAAATTTTCATGAAACTCACTGCCCTGGAAGGAAACGCTATAGTTAATTTTAATGATCTATTTTGTTCTTTCAAAGAGTAGAAATACTTTTTCACCAGCAATGATGACAGGTTTAGTGGTTAGTTTCCTTGGGAAGACCCTCTCAGTGCGGAACCAGTGCTCAGAGCCTTTGTTTCTTTGGTTTCTTTGAAGTTAAAGGGCAACATCTTCCCGTAATCGCATGGATTATACAGATCACAACCCTGAGATCACTGCCTGAGATGCATGTCACAATAAATATTCTAAACAGGAAACCATTCCAACAGGCACAGCTGTGACTGCCTTTAACCTCAGCACCTGGGAAGTGAAGGCAGAAGGATCAAGAGTTCAAGACCAGTCTTGCCCACATAGCATCTTCTTGGTCAGCCTGGACTGTATGAGACCCTGTCTCCAGAAAACCAAAAACAAAAATAACAGGAAAAACAAAATGTGTTCACCGGCCAGTGTGGGCCAAAGATGAAGATCTGGCTTCGTGCGATATCAACTCGGTTCCAAGCCAGTGCCAAGCTCAGCTGATCAGGAGCCGACGCATTGGTTCCTGGGGAAGGAAGGGGTAAGAGTGACCTCATGTGTATCTGGCTGCCTGAGTTGGGCAGGTTCTGGGAAGGGAAGTTGGGCTTCCCAGTGGGAACTGGCTTGGACCTAAGCAACTATCATTTCCTTCTTTCTTGCCCCAAAAGACCACCAAAGCTAAGAACTCCGATTTCTTTTTTCTTCTCTTTCTTTCTTTCTTTCTTTCTTTCTTTCTTTCTTTCTTTCTTTCTTTCTTTTTTTTTTTTTTAACTTCTAAAGGTTTCCTGAGAAGAGGCCAGAGGCATCTCATCTCAAGCCAGCTGGGCATGGTTTCCTGGAAGGGATGGAGGAGAAGCCAACTAATTCATTCTTTTCTCATCTGAAAAACAGAGAAATCTAAACGGCCTGACATCTGCCAGGTTGGGCCAAGGACATAAGCTAGGAGCAGCACAGTATAGCATCAAGTTTGGTGAACCTCCTCTTGTTCCTGTAGCCCCAGACTAGCTGAGAGGCAGGGAGGAAATGCGCCTCCCACAGGGAGACCCTGCCATACTATACACTCCTCATCACAGCCTTTGGTTAGAGGTGGGGTGCAGTATTCAGGAACCAGACCCACTGAGACAGCTATGTATAGAAACAGCACTGACAACATTATGGGTCCCACAAAAAGTCCTCTCGGAATTTGGTCATTCCAGCATTTCATGCTGATGTCACCCCAGGCAACCTGGCCCTCTCAGGGTTTTTAATAAGAGGGAGGGCAGAAGGAGTGTGTCATGCTGGCAAAGCCCTTGCCAGGCAGCTCTGAAAAAGCAACAGTCAGGATTGCCACTTCCCAGAAGCTCACCTTTCAGCAGGGCAGTTAAAATTGCCATCTCCACATCTTGCTGACCCTCAGACCCCATCCGAAACACAGTGACCTGGAAACAGGTGAATGGGGAAAAGACAGAATCAAGGTGCCATTGAAAACAAGAGGAAGAATTGAGCTGCCTTTTTAAAAACTGAACACAAGGACTTGTGCAGTGACCCAGAAAGCTGGTTAGACATTCATAGGTTTTCAGTCTCCAGGAGGTTCCATGATGCTCTTGCTGACAGAATCCTCACCTGGATTTAGAATTTATTATTTATCCCACCTGGGGAAGAGGGTGTTCATTTGAGATCTTTACTCCTGTATCTATACAGCTACCTGAGCTGGTGGACACACATCTAATCAGAAGGCATATGTTAGCAGACAATTTGCAAGGCAGGAACTTTGAATCCGTCACCATAAGAATGAGGAGTGCCAATGCCTTATAAATACAGCTGAAGGAATGACCCCTACATTTGCAAAGGGAAGTGGATTTGACTTTGTAACCACATCTAAAGGGCTATGGCATGTCTCTCTTTCCAAGGACTTTAAATCTGATTTATGTTTTGCATCTCTTAAGTTGAGAGACATGGTGTGACATCACCTGATGTTTGCTGTCGTCTGGCAACACCTGGGACCTTCTATGGACTTTTTCCCCTCCCACAAGTGCACATGGGTAGCTAGTTTGGAATGAGTTTCTAAGTTGCCTTCTGGGAAGGTCAACTGAAGTATACAGAAGTCCATCCAGTATGTATGGCAGAGCTAGACAAGGAAGCAGCTCTCTCTGTGGAATGTGTTTGGAAGTAAATCCAAAACACTCACAAGTTCTTTCTTCTTCATGCACTCCATGATAATTGCAAACAGCTGATGCGATTGTGACTTGCTGTAATTAAACGTTTTCTGAATTGTGACTAGGAGCTGGTCCCGCAGGGACTCATTTATGAACCTGTTCAAAGGGGTAAAGGGAGAGAAGGAAGCAAGGGAATTAGACCAACTCCCGAGTAAACCAGACAGCTTTGCCCACCCAAGTGTTTTTGATTTGTGACTGCTAATAGCACAGATTTATGTACAGGAGACAAAAAGTCACCCTGGCCTAAAATCAGCATTAAAATTGGCCTTGGTTTAGCTCTTTTAGAAACTTATAAGGGAAAATGGAGTTGCAAGAGAGGGTTCAGAGAGGATTCAGTCATGAACAGGAGCTCCCTCACGCTGACCTTGGGAACTAGAGAGGAGATCAAGAAAACTCCTTATGAGTTAGACACTTCTGGGTGTTTGATAGGATCAAGTCAAATGTTTTCCTGAGCCTAACGGGAAGCCATGAAGATCCCACCCTCATCCCATGACAATCCTACCCTCCTTCTTCACAGTATTTGTGTGCGAAGGACAAAATGTCAGAGGCACGTCCACTGCCGTCGCAAACCACCACGGGGACAGGAGGATCTTCTCTGAGGTATTCCAGGACAATAGAAACCACGTTAGGGCCACCTTCCACCATGAGGCCCACAACAGGCACACCCTGGCCCAGTCCTGAAACACAATCACACTTGCACTTCAAGCCAGCATGACATTGCCAACTTGCAGAGACAGCAAAAGGTAGAAGCTTGCTGCCCCAGGGCTTTCCCTGTGGCATTAGTGTTAACTAACAGATGGCTAAGTCAGGGGAAAGGTGATTGCTCAGTCTTGCATTTGAACCTCATATCATGGCCTCACTGTAAACTCCACTCAAAACTTTTTAGCTCCCTGACTCCAACTCCTGTATAGAACCAGACACAGGAACACCGAGGAGTGAATTTTAAGAACCATTGCTAAGAATGCTCTTTTTCTGCCTTCCCTGGGTGTGGAATGCCCATGTTGGAGGCTGTCTTCTAAGAATGATCCAGTGTAAGGAGGGCTGGATGAGCCAGAGGGGAGCTACTCAATGCAGGGCATCTCCGATGCTGGGCCGATGGTCACAGCACCATCTCACAGATGAGCAAGTGTGAAAGGAACAGTGCCTCACTTAACCCATGAGGAGGAATGGATCTGAAATATGAGAACACATTGGCCTGTGGGACGTTGAAGAGGCACACTCATGTGGCAGTGTGCCTCCAGAACCTAGAATAAGGCAGGATAGCATCCTCAATCTAAATAGCTGAAGTCTGAAACCAAGAGCATTGCAGATATCATTCTTTTTTTTTTTTTTTTTTTTTTTTTTTTTTTGATTGGAGGTGATCAGTGGCAAAGGTTATGAAAATATGACAAAATTCCATCAACCCTGAAGTCTGCAACACTTCTGGGGAACATGGCTCACTATTAGCACATTTCTCATGAGTTATTTCCAGGGTCTGCCTCTGCTTTAAAATAAGTAGATAAGCCAGGTGGTGGTGGCTCACACCTTTAGTCCCAGAACTAAGGAGGCAGAGGCAGACAGATCTCTGTGAGTTCAAGACCAGCCTGGTCTACAGAGAAACACTGTCTGGAAAACACACACACACAAAAACCCAGTAGGAATAGATCCAATAGGGTGGGCTCTGGGAAGCAGGAAGTGATAGGAGAATTCTGGGAGGCTGAGATCATACTGGGAGAACAGTGGGAGAGGACTCTTTATGACAAATCTGCCTACCTCAAAATGTCAGCCAGTACATATAACTGCCTGGCCAGTACGTATTACACAGTTGTTCCTTGGCATCTACTGGGCATTATTAGTTCCAGACTGATATGCTACTCCCTGGACACCAAATTCAAGACGTTCAAGTCTCTTATCTAAAATGGTGTATTATCTGCATCTACATTCTCCTGTGTGCTTCAAACCACCTGTAGGGGATTTACAATACCTGAAATGATGTAATGGCATGAGAAGTAGTTATTTAGGAATATTGACCAGGAAAAAGGCTGTACACATTCATTAAATACTGAATGTCTCTCCTGAATGTTTTCCATCTGTGGCTGTGAAGTTCTGGGCTTTAAAAGGTTTTTTAATTATTTATTTACGGGGTGGGGGGGCGTTGTTGAAGCAGGGTTTCTCTGTGTAGCTTTGTAAACCAGGCTGGCCTCGAACTCACAGAGATCCACCTGCCTCCTGAATGCTGGGAGTAAAGACATGTTCCGCCACCACCCTACCGAAGTTCTGGGCTTTAGACCCTGCTAGCATGCAGGGTCACTGTTGACTGATCAGGTTTCTGGAGTTGTGATCAACATTACAAGTGGCAAGTAGGGGAAATGCCCTTGACCTCATGGTTCCCAAAGAGCTCCAATAAATTTTGCCAGCCCAGGTTATAAGAAGCCTGGAGAGTCTCAGGGAGTGAATTCAGAGCATCTGGTTTTCTCCCACTATGCTTTCTCCAGGGAAACTTAGGTATTTAGAACAACTTCATTATCTCCAGATGAACTATTTACACTTAAGTTTGTTTCAGCAAATGAGCATTGAAGGTATGACATGGGCTAAGCCATGAACAAGAAATAATGGAAGATGGATCAGATGGCATTGCCTCTGTCTTTGAGATTCTAAGTAAGCCTGGGAGTTTACATCTTCAAGAAAGTGATGATTTCATCTCCGGAAGCAGAGAAATACTTGTCCTTGGCTCAGTCTCCTGGAGCTCTCTGTAGTAGAGGTGACCACTGAGCCCCCCTTTGCTGTCCCTGCCCCACTCAGAGGCCTAGGCAAAGGATGACAAAGGGAAGCCCACAAGTCACTGGTCCAGGTAGAATTTACAAGTCCAAAAAAATTAAAGTGTGAAACAAATACAACCGATTTATCCATCAGGATCGGATTCTTAGGACCACACTGCACTTGCATCAGTGTGGCTGTCAGAGTAAGATCAGACAGCTCAGCATCTCAGTGTGAGGGTGGGAAGGAAGTCAGTTTTCTTGTTTGTTTATGTTTTGGGTTTTTGTTGTTGTTTGTTTGTTTGTTTTGGTTTTTCAAGACAGGGTTTCTCTGTATTGCTTTGAAGACTTGTCCTGGGACTCATTCTGTAGACCAGGCTGGCCTCAAACTCACAGAGAACTGCCTGCCTCTGCCTCTCAGGCACTGGGATTAAAGGTGTGTTCCACCCATGCATACAAAGAAGTCAGGTTTCTTTAAGAGTGTGGCCCCTAGTAGGTTCACCACACTCCAGTGGATAACCCCACACACATAAGTGCATAGTCAGCACAATAGGACACAATGAGTTTTTTTTTTTTTTTTTTTTTTTTAAAGAGGCCATAAAATTTGAGGGGGAGGCAAAACAGTAGATCTGGAAGGAGCAGGGGAGTGAATATAATAAAAAATAAATTGGAGTTTCCAGTGAGATCCGACTATCCTGCAAAACCTTCCCAAGTTTCAGCTCAGCCTTTGTACTCTTCTGCCAGCTATTGGCCAGAGGTGAGTCTGGGCCCACTCGTGGCGGCCTCTCCCCTACAACCTCTCCCACCCCTTACCCCCGAACTCCCTGGGTTAGCCCCTGATCCTTCTGCTCCTGTGTCCTGTCCCCATCGAGAGCACCCTTGGAGCTCTGATACACCTCCACCCATCCCCACTGCCAGCCTGCCCCCCCTACCCTGTGCCCTACCCCACCCACGGTCCTGCCACTCTGGTTGAGCACTGGGACAGAGGGTGGAGCCAACAGTCCACCCTACTTCGGAGACTTCTCGGAGCAACTCTGAACAAAGGAGACCTGCCTATCCACGCGGGACCACCCATAATTTCCACCTGCTTGGTCTCTGACCCCACCTCCAGTCCTCTGCTGGAGTCCCCGGCCCCTCCCAGAGATCCGCCTATCTCTGCAGGTCCACTCTGAGTTCCTGCCGGCAAGATCTTTGACCCCCAAATCCGGGCCTCTGATAAAGAAAGAGGCCTCAGCTGGAGAGTTCCAGTTTCCAGTGAGATCCCACTATCCTGAAAACCTTCCCAAGTTTCAGCTCAGCCTTTGTCTTCTTCTGCCAGCCATTGGCTATAGCCATTGGCTCATAGCATCTTCTACTGGATGCTTAGCCCTGACCCCATCCTTGGGCCCCTGTCTGCAGAGAGACCTCCTAGAGAGCTTGGACCACACAGAGCTACAGATATTGAATCTCTGACCCACATAAGCCCAAAGGGGAAGTATCATAGAGAGAGGGGGAGACCCCACCAACACCTACTGGAAGAAGCTATGGGAAGAAGGCAATACAAGAAAACACCTAACAACAGAAAGACAAGCATGACACCACCAGAATCTAGGGAATCTACACCAAGTAGAACGGAACACAATAAAGCAGAGGAAGCAGAAGGGTACAACTTAAAAATTACCATCATAAAAACGATAGAGGCCCTCAAAGAAGTTGGTTTTTTGAGAAAATCAAAAAGATAGACAAAACTTTATCGAAATTAACGAAAAATCAGAGAGAAAAGATGTAAATTAACAAAATCAGAAACGAAAAGGGGAACATAACAACGGACATAGAGGAAATCAACACAATTTAGAGGTCATACTTTGAAAATCTATATTCCACAAAAATTGAAAATTCAAAGGAAATGGACAAATTTCTGGATAACTATCACTTACCAAAATTAAATCAAGAACAGACAAACAACTTAAATAGACCTATAACCCGCAATGAAATAGAAGCAGTCATTGAAAGCCTTCAATCAAAAAAGCCCAGGGCCAGATGGCTTCAGTGCAGAATTGTATCAGACATTCAAGGAAGAACTAATGCCACTACTCCTCAAACTGTTCCACAAGATAGAAACAGAAGGTTCATTGCCAAACTCTTTTTACAAGGCCACAATAACCTTGGTCCCCAAACCTCACAAAACACAACTAAGAAAGAAAACTACAGACCAATATCCCTGATGAACATTGATGCAAAAATACTCAATAAAATACTGGCAAACCAAATTCAAGAATACATCAGAGAAATCATCCACCATGACCAAGTAGGCTTCATCCCTGGAATGCAGGGATGATTTAACATACGAAAATCTATCAACGTGATCCACCATATAAACAAACAGAAAAAGAAAAACCATATAATTATCTCCCTAGATGCTGAAAAAGCCTTCGACAAAATTCAACACTTTTTCATGATAAAGGTCTTGGAGAGGTCAGGAATAACAGGAACATACCTAAACATAATAAGAGCAATATACAGCAAACCAACTGCCAACATCAAACTGAATGGAGAGAAACTTAAGCCGATTCCTCTAAAATCAGGAACAAGACAAGGCTGCCCTCTCTCTCCATATCTTTTCAATATCATACTAGAAGTTCTAGCTAATGCTATAAGACAACAAAAGGAGATCAAGGGGATCCAAATTGGAAAGGAAGAAGTCAAACTGTCTCTATTTGCAGATGTTATGCTAGTTTACATAAGCGACCTAATAAACTGTACCAGGGTACTCCTACAGCTAATAAACACCTTCAGCAAACTAGCAGGATACAAGATAAACTCAAAAAAAAAAAAAAATCAGTAGCCTTACTTTTTTTCAGACGACAAAGAGACAGAGAAAGAAATCAGAGAAACATTACCCTTTACAATAGCCACAAGCAACATAAAGTAACTTGGGGTAATGCTTACCAAACAAGTAAAAGATGTATATAATAAGAACGTTGTGGCTCTGAAGAAAGAAATTAAAGAAGATACCAGAAAATGGAAAGATCTCCCATCCTCTTGGATAGGTAGGATAAACATAGTAAAAATGGCAATCTTGCCAAAAGCAATCTACAGATTTAATGCAATCCCCATTAAAATCCCACCACAATTCTTCACCGACCTTGAAAGGATAATAATCAAATTTATATGGAAAAACAAAAGACCCAGGATAGCCAAAACAACCCTATACAATAAAAAAAAAAAAAAAAAAAAAAAAAAAAAAAACAACTTCAGGAGGCATCACCATTCCTTACTTTAAGCTCTACTACAGAGCTATAGTTCTGAAAACAGCCTGGTATTGGCATAAAAATAGACAGGTAGACCAATGGAATCGAATTGAAAATCCCGAGATTGACCCACACACCTATGAACACCTGATTTTCAATAAAACAGCTAAAATTATACAATGGGGTGAAGATAGCATCTTCAACAAATGGTGCTGGCACAATTGGATGAGGGTGTGTAGAAGACTGCAGATAGACCCATGTCTGTCGCCGTGCAAAAAACTCAAGTCCAAATGGATCAAAGACCTCAACATCAATCCAGCCACATTGAACCTCTTAGAAGAGAAAGTAGGAGGTACCCTTGAACAAATTGGTATAGGAGACTGCTTCCTGAACATAACTCCAGGGGCATAGACACTGAGAGAAACAATTAATAAATGGGACCTCTTCAAACTTAGAAGCTTCTGTAAGGCAAAGGACACAGTTGACAAGACCAAACGGCAGCCCACTGACTGGGAAAAGATTTTCACCAATCCTATATCTGACAAAGGGCTGATCTCCAAAATATACAAAGAACTCAAGACACTGGTCAATAAAACACCAAATAACCCTATTAAAAAATGGGGTACAGAACTGAAGAAAGAATTCTCAATAGAGGAAATCAAAAAGGCTGAAAGACACTTAAGAAAGTGCTCAACATCCTTAGCTATCAGGGAAATGCAAATCAAAACAACTTTGAGATACCATCTTAAGCCTGCCAGAATGGCTAAAATTAGAAACACCAATGAGGACTCATGCTGGAGAAGATGTGGAGAAAGGGGAACACTCCTCCACTGCTGGTGGGAGTGCAAACTCATACAGCCATTTTGGAGATCAGTATGGCAGTTCCTCAGGAAAATGGGAATTAGTTTACCACAGGACCCGGCAATCCCCCTCTTAGGCATATACCCAAAGGATCCACATCCATGCAACAAAGACATCTGTTCAACTATGTTCATAGCAGCACTATTTGTAATAGCAAGAACCTGGAAGCAACCTAGATGCCCCTCAATTGAAGAATGGACAATGGAATACTACTCTGTAGAAAAAAATAATGGTATCTTGAAATTCGCAGGCAAGTGGATGACACTTGAAGAAACCATCCTGAATGAGGTAACCCAGTCACATAAAGAGGAACATAGTATGTACTCACTCATATATGGAATTTAGACCTAGAGCAAAGGATCACCAGCCTATAATTCACACCACCACAGGAACTAGGATACAAGGTGTATTCTAAGAGATTCATATAAAGTCCCTCATAGAACTGGGAAGGGACAAGTTCCCCAGAACACAGGGGAGATGGGGGGGGCAGCGAATGGAGAGAGAAGTAGGAGAAAACGAGGGGGAGGAAAGGAAAACATGTGTGACCAGGAAGATTGAGCCCGGTTAGGAATAGAAGACAGGAGAGAGAGAGATACAGAGAGAGAGAGAGAGAGAGAGAGAGAGAGAGAGAGAGAGAGAGAGAGAGAGGGAGAACATAAAAGAGGGAGCCAATATTGGTTTGAAGGTAAAATTGAACACAAAGAAAGGTCTAGAGAACTACAAGACTGCTGCCAACTAACAATTTGAGCTTCCATGGAAAGGCTACCATAAATGCCCTTCCCGGATAGTGAGATCAACAACTAACTTATCCATGGAGCCCTCATACCTGTTGGAAACAGGAGCAAACACCCATACATAAACACTGAGTCGAAGTAGAACCCAGATGCAGATGAAGAGGACAAGACCAGGCTGCAGAAACACATCGAGACAGCTTACCTGTACAAGGAGGAGCTAATGGGCCACCAGACTGATAGCTGGGAAGCCAGCATGGGACTGACTCAGGCCCCCCTGAATATGGGTCTCAGCCAGAAGGACTGAGCAGTCTAAAGGACCTCAGACAGTGGAGCCAGGATGTATCCCTGGTGCACAAAAGGACGTTGTGAACACATCCCCTATGGAGGGATAACTGCCTTAATCTAGAGACAGGAGAGAAGCCCTAGTCCCTACTTCACATGACCTGTCAGATCTATATGACCCCAACTGGATGGCATTCCCCTACATATGGAATTGGGGTGGGGGGATGGGAGAGGAGGGTGGTTAGAGTGCATGTGAGAGGGCAAAGAGGGTAAAAGGGAGGGAAGGAGGGAGGGGGGAAGGGAGGAAGGGAGGAAGAGGGAACTGGGATCGACATGTAAAATAATAAATTAAATTTTAAAAAAAAAAATGCTTTGACTCCAAAATTTAAGTTCAAGGACAAGTTACTGGGGAAAAGGGTTTCTATTTTTGTTTCCACAGAAAATGAAAAGATGTGGATTCCTTCCAGACTAATGTGGTTTGATCAAGCTAGACCACCTGAAACAGAATACCAGGTGATCCTACATTCAAAACAGCTGGACAAAGCAGCCTTACAGACTACAGCCAGAATTTCTGAATCTTCTTCAAATCCCCCATGGCAGCGCCCTTTACCAGCAGGAAGTAGTTTGGAAAGAACGAAGCCCAAATTCCCAAATACTGTCTATAAATGTTTGTTTTCATTTAAATGGACTTGGTTATATAAAATAAATAAAAAATAACCTGTATGGAATTCTCAAAGAAAATTGATAGAAATATTTTTAAGCTGGTTCTTGGAAATTCATAGCCTTTCATGATGGCCATTCCAATCATAACTACTTGAGTGACATCACAGTTCCTTACATTATTTCCATTTCCTAGGTGTAGACTGTTGTGCACAAAGATATTGATGGTGTTAAGAATGATAGGAAGGGGAAATAGACTAGAGCTTCTGAGTAAATTGGGAGTGTGAGGGGCAGGGGGAAGGTGAGAGGGGAGGCAGTAGGGGAGTGGGGGGAAATGTATAGCTCAATTAAAAAATGGCAAAAACAAAGACAGAATGAAATATTCTGTGAGATCATTTAATAATTGTTTGACAAGAGTTTTTGCATGTGGACATGTCCCAGGAGGTTATGCCAACTACCTTAGTTCTAATAAGCTCATGTTTTCATCTGGTTGGATTCTGGTCCTTTCTCTCTAGCTTACAATCAAATTTTCCCTACCAATAGGTATTCCTTCCTCAGAGCCATGCCAACTGGACCAGCAAGGATGGTGTCCTTCAGGAACAGATGGCCCTGCAGCCAGGCCCAGGGACTTTCTTATCTGGCTATCTTAGTCCTTGTGAGACTCAGATCTATAGAGCTGATTAATAGCCCTACAATGATTATCAGTTTATAGGATAACTCACACTAAGTCTTTGAGAACAACTTTTTTTTCTGATTAAACATTAAAGAAAATAATAGCCATAACTACAATAAACAAGAATGGTGGGGGCAACATGATGGGCAGTGCCATCATGTGAAGGCAACAATAGGCGGCTAAGGCAAAGGGTCTGACCACGTCTGTAGACCTGGGAAGACTCTCAACACCCTTGGGTGACTTCCTTCTCAGCCTGCACCCACCCCGGTGGGGTAGGTCCCCAGCTGGTGTCCTAGCCTCCAGGGACTTACTTGTGTTGATCTTCTGCAGTGAGATGTGCTTTTCCAGTTGTCTTCGAAGCTTTACCTCAGCACCATACTTGCCCAGAGTGCCATTGTCAGCCAGGATGAAGTGAGTATGGGAATTGTTGAGCACGGAGAGCTTGCTCAGAGGGTTAGACATGGTCTGGTAGACTCTTGTGACCTAACAAAATGCACGATGCCAATCAAAGCTTAAGGGCTTGGTTATTAAGAGTCACAGGGCACTCAAACACTTTGTACACATACTACATGTAAACATAGTCTCATTTCTCTACTGTGCACACCATAGGCCATTTTATCAATCATGTATTACTAAGGCTAAGAGAAACTTGTTTGCTCTATCAGTGGTTTTCAACCTTCCTAATGCTGCAACCCTTTAAATATACTTCCTTCTGTTATGTTGATCCCCAACCATAATTTTTTCATTGCTACTTTATAACTGTAATTTTGTTACTATTATGAATCATAATGTAAATATATGACATGTAAGGTGTATTTTCATTGTTAGAAATTGATTGGAAGGGTGGCAGCTCATAGGTGAGAACCATTGCCTTAGATAATGGTAACCCAATAATTGAACACTTATTTACTGCAGAGAATTTAAAACTGTCAGTAACACAAAATCTTGAGTGTACATTAGTGTCTCTGTGTGCCTCTATGTGTGTATGTGTGATGTATTACATAAATATATGTGTGTGTGGTGTATATACATAAATATGTGTGGTGTGTGTGTGCATGTGTCTGTGTGTGTGTGTGTGAGAGAGAGAGAGAGAGAGAGAGAGAGAGAGAGAGAGAGAGGCAGAAAGAGGAGGTCAATCTGAACATCTTCCTCAAGTTGCTCTCCACCTTATTTTTTAAGACAAGGTCTCTCATTAAACATGGAGCCCATGGACTAGCTAGACTGACTGACAGTGATCCCCCAGGACCCCAACTTCATTTGCAGCTCTGCAGTTACAGTCACAGGCTATCATACCTATATAAATGTCGTGGATCTAAACTCAAGTCCTCATGCTTGTTCAGCATGCACTTTACCCACTCACTGAGATGCCTCTCCAAGCACACATTTTATTCCAACTTTATTTTTAATTGGAGCAGCTATAAACAGCCTTGGATGTTCTTCAAGAGATAGTGACTAAACTACCTATAGTAGTATATCCATATCACAGAATACCGTTCAACAGTAGGAAGAAACACATGACAATCTGAGTGTCCTGAGAATTACATAGGCTGGAAAAACCCACCCCTCTAAGACTGCATATTATGTGATACCACATTCTGAAAATAATAACAACAACAAAAATAGAGGTGTGTAACACATTAGTGATTGTCAGTGTTAAAGACGAAGTAATGATGGGCAGAAATTAGTATAGGTATTTAAGGAAACGAGGGCTTCCTTGGGTCGATGGCTATGTTCTGTATCTTGATAGTGTCAATGTCAACATCTTGATTGTACCATCATTTTGCAAGAAGCTCCCACCAGAAGAATGAGTGAGGGGTGCTCTCTGGTATTGCTTGTGACAATGTGTGACTGTCAGTGTCTGTAGAGAGAACTTACATCTTTGCCAACCAGGTCTTCCTTGTTCTCCACCATGCCCCATGGAGCAATTCCTATAGCACAGAGCCGGCCTCTGGACTTGGAGGAGTGGTCTTTCAAGGCATCCCCCACATGGCTGACGATACCTGTGAGCCGCCATATGCCACATTTCAGGCCCTTTTATGTTACATCACATTACCACTGATTACCACAAACTTCAGAGGTGCCTGCTCTGAGCCTTCATGATCCCTGTGGGGCAGGAGTGACCTGTCCTCTTCATAAAGAGAAAACAATCACAAGTCTATTATCATTATAACCATTGGTCCTGTGGTAACTCCTGGAGTATGGAAATAAGAGCAGAGCCCAAAACAGCTGGGCAAGCATTTCTTCTGCAGATTTCTATGACCCAAAGCTGGAAGTCACTGGGATCTCATTGGTAGTCCTTGGCTCCATTCTGCTAACAGCAGGAGACAGATCACCAGACATGTTCCTTAACTCATATATGTTTCACTTTACTGTCTCACAAAGTATGGAGACAATGCCTATTGACTCATGGAAAATGACTCTTGTCCGTGGCTATGCTTAGGCAATGGCACAGTACTGTCACTGTCATGCCCACTGAGGTTTAGACCTCAAATGTCCCCCGAAGCCCTATGTTAGGTGCTTGGTATCCAGCTGGGCACTGTTGGGAGGTGGTGGAAACTATAAGAGAAAGTACCCAGCATGTGGTTATGGGTCACTGGGGTGTGCCCTCTTAGTCACCTCTATTTTGCTTCACTACACACTCCCACCACGAGGCACTGCCACAGGTGCAAGGCAATGTGGCCAATTGATCATAGGCTGAAACCTCTACCAGTGTGACCCAGAGTAAACCTTTTCCATTTATAAACTGATTATCTCAGGTATCTCTTAAGCGATGGAAAGCCACCTAACAAAATTACGCTTATACTGTTTAAATAAATCAGTCACCACAACAGTAAAACCCTGCTGAATAAAGGTTTCACGCTTGTTACAGTTGGGATCAGGATTCCATGTGTCTCGTCTCCTGGCCCTCTGCAACCTCAGTTGAGTTCCAGATGTGTAGATTCACAGCAAGGACAGGGCCCCTCTTACCAGTGCTCACACCCCCAGTGAAGATCCAGGCCCCCGTGGTCATCGCAGCCTTGATTAGGCCTTTCCCAAAAACCTGCTTCAGCTTGGGCTGCATCTCAAAGCTCTGCAGGCCTCCATGCACGGATATCAAAAGCTTGGGGAGTTCCAGCTGCCAATCCTTCACCATGAGATGGAGCAAGGCATCTGGCTTGGTGTCGTAGGAAACACGGATATACTGCGAAAGAAGTCACGGCGCTCAGTGCCTCCTCTTGGTTCTGCTCCTCCTGTCAGAGGGGAGCAAGGCTACCACACACCTCCAGGCCCTGTGTGACCTGGGCCCTCTGCAGGAAGTGACTAAAGGGAACTTGAGGGAAAGACAGCCAGATTTAGCAAGTGCCATGTGCTATGACCCACATGTTTGTGTCACCATGACAGCAGCATGCTAACACTCTATCCCAGTGCAGTAGTGGTAAGGAGTAGATACAGAGGCCCATTGGTGTTTACTCCTTTGTCTTATATATGAACATGCAGCAAGAATATGTCATTTATTAAGCAGGGTCGAAACTAGATGAACTAGAATCCTGATTGTAGGCTTCTTAGCCTCAAACTGTGCATAGTACATTTCTGTTTACAAATTTCTCCATCTTAAGCGTTGTAGTGTCCACTGCCCAGGCTAATATGCCTGACTAAATTTGAATTTTTGAAAGGTTTAAAACAAATATTTTAAATAATTTAGCACAGGATCTTTACTAAATGCAACACATCACATAAGAATTGGTATAGAACTGTAGTTAAAAATTATGTCTTCTTTTTTCAAACATTCAAACATAATTGAGTCATATTTTGCTTGAATACTTAACCTTGAAAGAACCAACTCCAAGTTAGAACAATGATCCAGGATGTTAGGCAATGTTATTGTTGAGTGAGTAGGAAAGGTTCATGGGCCCATGTCTGGGCTAGCCTTCTCCTCAGGGTGAAAAAGACATTAGTGGTCAGGGATCATAGTCCCTTTATGTTTCCTTTTTGTGTCTATTGCTAACATGAAGGGTGCCATCCCAGAAATTCTTGTGTATTTGGAACATAACTGAATTTTAAATGAGTAGTAATGCTGGACCAATGAAATGAATCAGCAGCACGGGGTTACAGCCCCTCCCTCTCTGCAGGGCCTGCCGAAAGGGAGCTAGCATTCCCTCTATAGAACACTGTGAGGGGCAGTTTCCCTCCTCTTGCTGACCAAAAAGAGAAGGTTCAGGGAAGCTGACTTCAGAGGAGAATGCTTGTAGAGACTTTACATACATGAAGGAGGGTGGCAACCAACCCCCCTCTCCCATTACCATTACTGTTTTAAAGAACTTTCTTATCACTGGGTGTGCTGGTTTTGTTTGTTTGTTTGTTTGTTTGGTTGGTTGGTTGGCTTTGTTTTGTCAACTCCACAGAACCAAGGTCACCTGGGAAGGGGAAACTTGAACTGAAAAAGTCCTTTGATCAGACTGTCCTGTGGGCAAGCCTGTGGGGATTTTCTTGATTAATGATGGATGTTTGAGGGCCCAGCTTGCTGTGGGTGGTGCCACCCCTGGGCAGGTGGTCCTGGGGTGTATAAGAAAGCAGACTAAGGCTGGGTGGTAGTGGCGGACACCTTTAATCCCAGCACTCAGGAGGCATAGGCAGGAGGATTTCTGTGGGTTCGAGGTCAGCCCGGTCTAAAAAGCTACACAGAAAAACCCTATCTCCGAAAAACAAAACAAAGCAGACTAAGCAAGCCATGAGGAGCAGGCCAGTAAGCAGCACCCCTCCATGGTCTCTGCTTCAGTTCCCGCCTCACATACCTGTCCTGAGTTCCCTCAGTGAGTGACAAAATGTTACCAGGAAACAAGATGAAATAAACCCTTTCCTCATTTCTTTTGGTCACACTGTTTATCATAGCAAGGAAAGCAAATGAGAGCAAGGCGGGATGGGGGTAAGGGCAGGTGGGCAATGGGGAGTCATGCAAGGTTGAGCTAGGATGTGCTTTGTTGTTTAGAGCTTGGGGAAAGTAATGCGCTATGAAGATGTAAGCCTGAGGAAGACCTAGGTCTCTGCATCCTAGGGACCAGGAGACAGGGTCTGGCGAAGGCTGGGTCCCTGTACACAGTGCCAATCACCCCTCTTACCATGGCTTTATTGGAGTAGCCCCCACCCTGGAACTCGAGAATCCCATAGGAGTCTGTTGGGTAGCTCTGGGTGTGTTTGCTGACCGACCATTTCCCGGGCTGCGTGTCCACCTGCTTGCTCTCCTCAATGGTTGTGCTGGGAGCCCCGCTCGGCAGTGGGGGGATGTGCTGGTTAATGAGCTGACCACAGCAACACCTGAAAGAGCAAAGCGGTCTATTCTGCAGCAATTCTCCCTCCCCTCCCACTGGTGAGTACAAACTAGCCTGCATGGACAAGCTGGTCCAGCCAGGGCCACAAGAACATCTCAGTCAACAGCTTCATCAAGAACAGAAGCGATCACCATCGTTTGTTCCTTTTCCCAAAAAGCAACACATCACCACTTACTTATATACCAGTCTGTTTACAACACACTGGATGGCTGTTCCTTCTTACTGAATGTGTGGTCATCTTTCTGCTGTCTTGAGGACATTAACAGGAGCTGGGCTCTCTGAACACTGCTGAACATTTTGTGACAAAATAACAACCATAAGCTGGGAGCAGACACGTAGCCCTCTGGAATCTCATGGTGCTGCAGGGTTCTTCTGTTTTTTTAGCAAAACCCTTTTTCCTGCCCAAGTAGCACAGAAGGTTGAATTATCCTGTCCGGAACAGTCCTGTGTTGGGCTGTCACTGCCATGGCTTTGCAGATCTTGATTTTCAGTGTCTCTCCATAGCTCAGCCAACCTCTGTCCCACACTCCTAGACTCCCCTGAGCATGTGCCTTGGTCTTTCCACATATGCCCAGGGTTTTCTTGGTCACTGTCATGGTTGGCTGCTAACATAGTTCATGCCTGAATCACCAAAGCTGGAGAATGCCAGTGGGAAGAGCAGCAGGGGCTCAGAGTGATGTCTTGGTTCAGATGGAAGTGTTCTCCTCCCCTTCAGTTCCTTTGTCAGTGTTAGGACCTGATACTTGGGGTTTCTTCCTTTCTCTCTTACTCCATCTGCTTTTCTGTCTTCTCTCCCTCCTCTCTCTTTTCCATTCCCATTTCCCTTTTCTCTTTTCCTTTCCCCTTCCCCTCCCCTTCTGCCTCCCCCCTCGATCCATCTTCTCCCTCCCTCCTTCCTTCTGCTCTCCTCCCCCATCCCCACTCACACCCCCAGCTGTTTTCACTGTTCTGGGTTCTTACAAAAGTTCATGTGCATTTCAGAACTTGATTGGCAACTTCTGTAACAAAGCCACTGGAGTGGGGTAATGTTATTATGACTTCTGTGCTGTCATGGGTGGGTGGGGGCAAGGAGGTATTGTGGGGGATTTGTTGGTATAGTTGCTCCCAGACCACCAGTAGAGACAGACCTCAGTTTGGAGGGTGGAGTCCACATTCAGCTGGCAGGAGTGGACCGTGTAGGGACACACAGGAGGAACAAAGGGGGGCCCAAAGAGATGAGAATAGCCTTTTCCACCAGGGAAGGTAGAGAAGAGGGTGAGGTGACCTTTTCTCCATCGCTCTGTGGATCTTTCAAGTTTACTCCCGAATATCTGACACCTGAGATTTATTTTTAATAAAACAGTAAAAGGTGCCACAGTAAGGGGGAAAGGCTTAGTTCACAGTTTCCGTTCATTGTGGCAAGGAGGAGAAGGAACAGACAGGTCACCACCCCTCAGTGGCCAGGACATAGAGAGGGAAGGCCTGTGTTAGAAGTCCCCTTTCTCCCTCTTGCTGTAACAGGGCCTTGGCCTTGGGAATAGTCTTTCCCACATTCAGGGCAGACCTTCCTCCCTTAGATATCCCTTTCTGGAACCACCCTTACAGACACCCGAAGTGTGGGCCACTGATGTGGGTGTTTCTTAATCTAATCAAGTTGACATCAAGATTAGCTGTCATTAGGGTTAAGTTGAATGTCTGTCATTTTTCAAGCATTGCCATTTTCTTAAGCAAGGATGTTTCCAAATTGCTTAGAGCTTAATTCATCCCTTTCATTAATGCCTCAGTTTGGGAATCTGTTTTTCTGGGTTCTTGCAACTAGTTGGCAGAGTGCCCACGACATGTTTTGGGTAGAGCTTATGGAGAATTTGGGTTGATTCTTCTGGAGAGAGGCTATCTAGGCCTGGGTTCATTCTAGTTACTAATAACGTAATGACCAATGGGGAGATTTTAGATCACAGGCTCTAATGGTAACAATTACTTAATGCAAGTGTGTTTCCACTGGGTGTTTCTCCCCTGAGCTGGCTTGCAGAGTTTGTACTTTCCTGGGAATTTGCTAAATTATCTAATTTATTGTACAAATCACACTATTTCTTCATAATAATTTCTGTTTAAAACTGTCACTCTCATCTCTGCCAGTTCAGTATTAGCTCTTCAGTCCTCATCAATCTGGCTGTTTGAGTCACAGATTTTTGTTCTTCTCCAAGAACAGCTTCTGACTTTTGCCACTGAAGTCCCTCCAGTCTGCAACATGGGCCACACAGGGCTCTCATTCTTCTTGCAACATGGCTGGCTGTCTTCCTTCCTCAGCTCTTATTTTTCTGGTGGATGGTTAGGTTGTCTATTTAGAAGTTTTCTTCTTTCCTAATCCAGGCACACATGGGCACAAATCTCCTTCTCGGCTATGTTAGTGCATCCCCTTGGTTTGGTGTGTCCTATCTTTACTCTCATTTGTCTTGGAGTACTTTATTCCCCTTCTGATGTCAACTTTGACCAATTGTTATTGAGGAGTATCTTCACTTGGCGAGGTACCACATTTTTTTCATCTGCTATTGACTTTTAATTTTATTTAATCATGGTTCAGGACTATGCTTTGACTTGTTTGAGAATACTGAGGCGTATGTCACAGGTTGGCCTATGGTATGTCTTGGAAATGATCATATATACTTGAAAAGATTGAGTTGGTCACATGTTACGTAGATAAGGTTGTTCTGATCTTTCCCAATGATATAAGTTCCTTTCATATAAATAAATTAAGAAGTTGGACTGCAGACATCTCAGAAGATACCCTGAGACTGTCTAAGACTGGGAGAGAGCCCAGGGAAGAGCTGCAAAGAGAAATCCTCTGCCAGGGCACTTGCCTGTCAACAGAGGAGCTTATTAGCCCCATGACTTTTTATTAATGGCTTCCGTGGGGACAAATTCTGGCATGTCCTCACCTCTTCTCCCTTCTCAACAGACATTAGAAGAGTAGTTGCTGAGACATGCTGGACAAGCCCTGACTCAGATAATGCCTCCACAATAGCATTCGACATACCTGTTTGGGTCTTTTGTACTGGGAATTACAAAGATGCATTCTCTCTTGCAAAACGTTTTCTCTATCCAAGCTTTCTGACCCTGGAATAGAAAGGAATGAAAATTAGATTCCATAAGCCATCACCAGGGGTTCATGAAAAAAAAAAATCACATGACTTGCCTAACAACCCAAGTTTAATCCCTGGAACCCACGTGTAAGGAGAGAACAGACTTCTGCAAGTTGCCCTCTGCTCTGCCCATGTACACAAGAGTATATGCGCACAATCAATCAATGTAATTAAAAAACTAACATGCCTTTAATAGGAAGTTTCCTTTTCCCTGCGTGTGTGTGTGGAGGGGATGTCTGTGTGTATGTGTCTATGTGTCTGTGGTGTGTGTGTGTGTGTGTGTGTGTGTGTGTGTGTGTGTGTATGTGTGAGTCTTTCTAGTAATGCTGTGGATCAAACCTAATTGTCTCACCCAAGGCTGAGCTATGGTCTTGGCTTTGCCTATGGTATCTAGCAGTTGCATGTGTTTAATGATTTGGTGTTATATAAGAGAGGTGGCCTGTAAACATGTGTTTCTGTTTCCCACTTGCTGAACTTAGTTCACTGACATCCACTTGCTGAAGATATTCTTTGTGCAAGGTTCTGTGCTGGGTGATGCGGAGACTTTCCAAGGAAGAGAAGTGGAGGTCAAGTATCCTTTACTGTCTAAAAATAGCAGGAGATGGCTGAGAAAACACAAGAAGAGGTGGGGCAGCATCAGGCTGCATCCAGGCCACAAGGATTGAGAGAACTTCCTATGGTGGCTTCTTTTATGAAGAAGGCCGAGGCCCAGCCACCTTTGTTCAAATTACATTGCCCTCAGACACCACGAACATGCTCACACAGAAGAGAAGGCTCAGGGCAGTGAAGTGATTGGCCTGCCTCAAGAAAGGACCAAGAGGAGTCAGCAGATCCCTCTGGGAGTAGGTGCTAGGAGGACCCTGTCTGGGCTGGTTGGAGGAGAGTTACCTGTGTGTGTGTGTGTGTGTGTGTGCTGTATTTGTATTTGTGGGATGTATTTATGCCAGTGTATGTATGTGAACAACTTGACCACTGTGTATGAGTGTGTGTGCCTATTGATACATGATCAGTGCCTGTGTGCATAGGTATATATGTATTGGGTGTGTGTTTGTGTGTGGGAATGTGTTGTGGTGGGAATATATGGGCATTTTGTGGTTTGTATATCTGTGTGTTATGTGTAACATATGTAGTATGTGTGTGCTGTATATGTGGAATGTGCATGGCGTGTGTGTTGTGGTGTCTCTAGGGTGGTAATAGGCGGTTTACAGATATTTGCTCAGCATGAGAAACTTAAGTAACATCTTAGAGAAATGGCAGACAGAACCTTCTTACCATGGCTGCTTTCCCACAGTCTCTATTTGGGAGCATAATAGTGTTACCTGAGACTATGGTGTGACCCTGGTATCTAGAGGGACAGGCCTCAGTGGAGCCTTGATGTCCTCCTCCCCATATCTGCCACTGATATTGATCTAGTGACTCCATGTCTCTTTAAAGTTGCCTCCCAGGACAGTTGCCATGACAACACAGATTCCCAGAATACCTCTCAAGTCAGTTCATGCCAAGGGTCTGGTACCCACCTGTTGCTTCACAAGAGCCCTGCCCAGCCCAGAGACATACAAGGACTACTGTATTCCTTTCAAAGAAGTGTTTCTGGGCACACCCAAGTCCACTGATCACCATGTCTTATTAAATAATGACATGAGTGTAATTAAAAACCTTCTCTAGGGACCTTCAAAAGTCGATGCCACATGCCTCACCCTTCAAATGACCATGTGATTATGGCGTGTGCGTTCATTAGCTTTTATTCTTAACTTGACACAACCTAGATTCACGTGGGATGAGAGTGAAAATTGCTCAGATCAGACTGGCTTGTGGGCATGCCTGTGGGGGCATTCTCTTGGTTTCTAATTGATGTAAGAGGACCTAGTCCACTATGGGAAGTATTATACCTAGGTCCTAGGCTGTATGAGGAAGGTAACTGATAGAAAACGGTGAGCAAGCCAGTCAGCAGTTTATTCCTCCATGGGGTCCTGTTATTTCTGTTCTGACTTCCATTAATGATAGAATGACCTAACAGTGTGAGCCAAATAAGCCTCCCCTCCCCCAAGGTTTTATCACAACAGAAAAGGAATCCTGTGTGTGTGTGTGTGTGTGTGTGTGTGTATTTAAGTGCACACGTATGCACACACGTATGCACACACTGGGGATCAATCAGTCCCAAAGCCTTGCATATGTTAGGCAAACACTCAATCACTGAGCTAAAGTCCCAGGCATAAATATTTGGTGGCTGCCTGATGATGGTTCTAAACTTGTGTACTACAACCACTTCGACAAACTTCTTTCTCCAAAAAAACCAAAAATATTTACATTATGACTCATAACAGTAAACAAAATTATATTTGCAAAGTAGCAACAAAAATAATTTTATGGTTGGGGATCAGCACAACATGAGGAACTGTATTGAAGGATCACAGCATTAGGAAGGTTGAGGATCACTGGGTCCCTAACTGTGTTGTTGGCCTTGGAAACTGGTGCTTTTGTGCTCTTGGCAGAAATGCTTCAGTTCAGAGGATGAAACACAGGACACTGAGTAGAAGCTTCATCCAGCCCAAACATAAGGAGCAGAATGTTAGAGTCCAGCTCAACTCAACAGCAAAGCAGACATCCACTGAGAAAGAAGGCATCTTTTCCCCCTTGTACATTATTTCTCACCTCCCAGAGAAGTTCACACCACATACTCACATTTGATTATGAAAGCAAGTAACAAGTGCTTAGGCCACAGAAGCTAGGATACATGTCACCTAAACAAACCCTAAACTCCTACGATTACTTTTTCAAAGGAATGCTAAAAGATCAGTTCTGATGAAATTCTCTATGTGATCTGTGAATGAACAAGTCTATGGCTATGAACAAGTTATGAATAATGAGAGTTGGCCTCTCACTATTGGAGGAAGCAGGGCAAATATGGGAAATGGGGGAAGAATTGAACGAACTAGACCCAACTGAGATTATCAGTGTGGAGTAATAGTCTGTGATATGTAGGGTTTCCTGAGAATTGATGGCTCATCTTTGCATACACACATGGGGACATGAGACATACATGTATACATCCATAAGATTTTGGTGTATATGTTATGTTACATGCTATATGTTGCTTAACAGTGCAAACTTCCTCAAGACCTAGAGCTTAATAAATAACTATGGTCTAGCATGTGGGATCTAGGAAGTGGATGTGTGTAAGTCAGATTCTGCTCATTTGAAGTCAGTCACTCAGTTCACTTCTCTCAGAGGTTACAAAACAATGACCCCAGGAGGCAGGAACCAGTGACATCACATACCTACCACACAACAATTCCATCTGTGTATCCCTTGAAAGGGCCTAACAGCAGCAACATTCACACAGCCATAGATACACCCAGTGTTCAGATAATAGTTTTTAAGTTCCGGCCTTCACAAAACCAGGGTTCCTTTAGAAACAAAGTCAGGGCTGCAGCCTGTAACTCCATGAGCCAGAAAGTAAGGAAGTATTGGCTTCTACCCTACAAATGTGTCAGAAGAACACAGACACCAGACTGGAGGACTCCCATTGGCTTTAACTGAGTGTGAAAATAAGTGGTCACAACAAAGAATGTAACCGTTGGCTTGAATATATACACATGAATCCACATCTGTATAGATGTACACACTAGGTAAGTACATGGGGGTTGGGAGAGGTGTGTCTTTCAGTAGAGGTATCTAATACTTGGAAGCAGATGGAACCTGAAAACCAGACTGGGGGACAGACATCCTGCTTGTCACCAGCCCACACCCTCCAAAAATGTCCAGCCAATGGGAAGTGAGGGCAGATGAGGATCAAAGCTTGAACAGACAGGATTGTGCCTTGCCCAGGCCCTGCCTTCACAGCCCCCAGAAGTCCCACCATATACACCACCCCCTCCTGTTCTCAGCCCTGCTCCATAAACCAGGACTTCTTAAATCTTTTTCTACTCAAAACTCTTCATGTGAGAAATTTTTACCGAGTCCCCAGAAGTTAGTATATAAAGCATGTATGTAAAACATTTATTAATAATAAATAATAAATGCATTTAAAATAACTTTGATTAATATTATGCTATAATAACTCTTTGATGTTATAATATGTAACTGTACTGTTTGTTGAAGATTGAAGCAATCTTGCACACTAATCAGACAAATGTGCTTCTTTACTTTGCCATAAAGAATTAAGTCTTTGCTGAATATTTGATGCTGCATGGTTCAGATCATCTTTAACACCTTTCAGAATTGATTGATGTTTTAATATTATAATTGTCAGTGTTGAGAATGCTGTTTCACATAAATGCACAGTATAGGATATGTCAGGACCATCGCAGAAATTGTTGGAAATCTTATCCCAATCCCAAGCCAAAACTCATTCAATGACATTTTAGAATAAAGCTCAAGTCCACAAATCAAATAGCAATCTTTAAAATCAATGTTCTAACACATCCTAAGCTTTGCTAATTTGGTACTTACATGATGAGAAGTGACTAGAAAAATATTACACATCTTTGCTTTCTGTAACTAAATCATTATGCTTCTGTAAGAGCATAGCAGTTAGCAAAAGCAATGGGCCTTAGAGCCCGGAGTCCATGGTCTGAGCCTAGATGTTTCTGAGGTGATGGCTTGATGCCTGACTAGTGCAGAGCTCACATCTGGGCAGTATGCTCAGGACCCAGGTTCTATGTAGCTAAGTCATACCACACCCATGAGCATCGCCAGAGACCAGTTGGATTCATCGTGTGTTTGACTTTGAGTTGATTTCTGATCATCCCAGTTCAGACACCTCTTGCTGCAGCCAGTGTTTCCGGACCTCCACCCTGTCACCCTGTGGGTATGGTGGCTTACACGGCATTCAGAAGGCTGATGCAGAATTGTCAGGAGTTTGAACAAGCAACACTCTCTGAAAAACAAAGCAAGGGTCTGGATTGGTTGCTTCTTGGTTAAGAGTACCAGCTACTCTTCCAGAAGACCAAGAGATTCTTCTCCCAGAACTCA